GTTCTTTTATGCAAATTTTACAGGGAATTCAAAGAACTGAGTTCCATTTAAAAATGGATGTTAAAATATAACTTCAAGGATATTTTAAAAATCACTGTCAAGCCTTTTTTTGCAATTACAGTGAACTCAATTTGTCATAGGGTATTAAAATATACTATTTAAGAATACAAGAAACCACTTAATCACCTACCAAAAGACATCAAATTCCGTTCTGCTGCTCCTGTGCAAAAATCCATACTACCCTTTTCTGTAGCATCTTTTCTGTGAAGACCCAAGTCTTGTGCCAAATGCACCAGAGAAGCAACACACTTCCTTGGGTAGAATAACTCCAACTGCTAATTAAGTCTTATCTGTCTTTAGATTACAGCTATTTGCTTACGTTTTGCTTCCTTTGTTTTATTTCCCTCTTCTGCTCAAATAAAATGTAGAATTATATGTTAACAGACAATATTCTCCATGCATTAAAAAAAAAACAGGATATTTCAACAAACCACTTCTCTATCTTATTTTTGATAAACTACATCAAAGGAGCCCTGATAGTGCATTTATAAGGACTTCACTGCCAACCTCCAAATATTAATTCTTCTCTGCACGCTTTCTGAATTCTCAATTTCTCCCTAACGTCATTCAAACTTAAAAATGTGGGCAAAAAGGTTGTACTAGTATTGTAGCATCAGTCTCATCAATTTTGAATAGATAGTCAAAATGACCTCTTTGCATAATTTTGTACATTCAGCTCAAATATAAATCACCTTATCTGTGTTAAAATGCTTCTCAACCACGATCAGCAGATAACTCAGAGTCAGTGTTTTCCAGGATATTACTTCCCATTACAGAGACATGTTTAGCATTTGGCTTAATTAAAATAACCTTTATTTAAAATGGATTCAGCTTTTCAAGTGATCTAACTCCGTTCATAGGACTGGTCTCTCTTGTCACCTTTTAGCAGTTGTCTTTCTTTTTCATCAGCAAGGTTATGGTTACTTCAGCATCAGTCATGAAGATAATTAAAAGGCAGAGTTGAAACCCAGGTGAAATTCACAAAAGCCCTTCATTTTGAGATTTCCTTATTAACAACTGCTTTTTGTCAGCTACAATTTCATAGTAAATTAGCATTTAGCTGAGCTGTATGAGTACTGTATATTGTTGATCTCACCAATCCTAATAGGAGCAATGTCACATTTAGCCCAATATGGTTCAAAATGGCTAACACCAGTTGCTTCAGGGAAAGGGTTAAGCAACATTAAAAAGTAATTATGCTTCCACACCCACACTTTCAGAGGCTAGCTTATCCAAGAAGTCCAGAGGCATATAAGTTTTAATAGCACTACTGTTACTACAGCTATTCATATTATAAATCCATTAATAACCATTCTTTGGCTTTTTAAAACCTGTTGCAAGGTTTATTGCAAGTCTCTGTAACATTATATGTCAGGAAAATTCAAATGTTATTTATAACTGTGTGCAAAAATATAATGAAAAAATTTTGAATTTTCTACAGTTTAGTTTCATTTTACCTCAAGGGTTCCAACTGTAGTTTACTGCCAGAAGGGACTAGATCCAAAGTCAGTATCTCCTAGAAATTTCTAAGACAACAAATTCTACAAAATTAAATAATTTTGCTCTTCAGCAAAATATCTGAGTATTTTAATTCAACAATATTGGTCCTTGAATGAGCCAATGAGACCGCTCACTATCCTATTACCTGCTTTTGCATGTATTCAGATTATTTTGTCATTTATCCATGGTTAGCTACTCACCTTTTGGACTTGCTCTTAGCTCTCCTGGTTATTTCTGTATATATACTGCCTACTGTGGATTATGATAATTTTATTGCCCTCCATAGAGTTGGTTTCTCCATTTTCTCTAGGCTATTTGGCTTCAATGGTCTTGTCAAACAGACATTGCAAGCTCTGTCTAACCATTTCTCTGCATGCTCTGTATACACCTACAAAACAATAACTACTGCGTATTCCAACTGTGTATAAATTAATAATGCATGACTGTATTGCAATATATCCATGTACTATGTCTGCACACACAATAATCCCTGACTTAAAAACAAAATGTTAACTGTTTTCACAAAAGGGTCAGTTTTAGTCTAAGGTTTTTTTCATTGGAATAAAACTAAAAATTTTGAGAAAACCATTCACAATGGAAACAAACTACTATATAATACAGTGTGCTTTGCATCTTTAAAATTACCAATATTCAAACTGTTACAATTAATTTAATTAGTGGACTGATACTTACCTATAATATTTTCATTTAGAAATGCTCAAATAATTCTGAGTTAATTTTACATTATTTTCATTGCTGATTTTAAGCAGCAGCCAACCACCAAACAGCTGCTAGCCCATACTCCCCCTCCTCCAGCAGGATGGGGAAGAGAATAGGAAAAGAGAAAGTGAGAAAAATTGTTGGTCAGGATACAGGCAGTTTCAGCAATAAAGGAAAAAGATGGAAAAAATAAACCAAAACCAAACAAACCAAGTAAAACCAAGAAAATCCAACCCAGATAATGAAAAGGCAATCACTCACCACCTCCCACAGGTAGACATGCTCAGCCACTGGTAGCAACAGCTACCTCCTCAAAAAAGCTTTTGTTGCCAAGAATGGTACTCTGTGACAATAAATAACTCTCTGGTCAATTTAGTTCATCTGTGCAGGCTGTGTCCCCTCACACCCTCTTTCCCATCCTCAGTTTACTCATAGCAGGGACATGGGAAAAGAGAGCACCTTGGCACCACAAATACTACTCAGTGATAGCCAAAACAGTGGCGTGTTATCAACTGTTGTGACTGTTTCAGTCACAAATCCAAAGCACAGCAAGAAAGAAAAATGAAGAAATTTAACTCAATTCCAAACAGAGTACACTAAGACACTCTAAAATATGACTAGAAATTATCTCAGCTCTGACTTCAGTGAGATTCTGTCATATTTTGCTGAAATAATGTCTCTTGTGTGTTTTTGGCATTGGTGGTCAGCCTAAATCCTGTACTGATTTTCTGCAGATTCATTTAAGAAGAGACATACACACTTCTCTGCTATGCCTCCTAGTCCAAATTAGAGAACATTTTCATTTCTGCACAATCCTGACACCTCAAGAGCTCAGCAGCATTAAAGGATTGCCAACACCCCTGCTTAAGCTCAGAGCTGTGCTTTGTGAAAGCATCTCTCTAGTCTAAACTATTTTACAAATCAAATAGCAGCATCCTGTGATCTCCTCAATAATCCCAGCTGCTTGCTCTAAGGGGTTTTGAAAATTCATGTGACTACTTTGACAAAAGAAAGTTTGACTGCCTTTGAACCTGCTTTCAAAGACAAAGTTATACAAGTCAAGCTACTGCCCATGGAGTATTCTGGTTAGCTTTGACAATGATGGATACCTTTCATGACCATTTCCTAGATCCCTTATGCCTACACTTCACAACTGTCCTTAATGATGAATGACAGTCATCTGCAATGAATGACAATTTTCCAGTACTCTCATCCTCAAAGAAATGGCATTATCATCACATATTCTTGCTATAATTTATCAGGGTGAAAAAATACAGTCTCTGATTACTCAATTCTTTATTAATGTAATAACTTAAACAAATACTACTTTATACATTTTGAGATGCAGATGGGAAAGCATATCAAGTTCTTCAGTAGAATATACTGTATTCATTACTTTAGGAACTGTAAATCTTACTCTTTAATGAAAATGCAATGTGGAGAAGACAGATTGTTATGATTCGAAACTAGTTCAGATGTCCTATCTGAGTCTTGAATAAATAAATTGACTGCTATAAAATAAGGGATATTCAAAACTGTGTTTTGAATAGAAGTCTCATTCTTGCCACTGAGAAAAGTGGCAATTTTATTTGCTTAGTGAGGTTGTTTTAGTTTTATACACTTACATCTTCACTGATTCCAGATGGAATAGCCCAGCAAACACTACCTCTGGAAACAGTCATCTATTCAAGCTTGCACTTTGTGAGAAAAGGTCTCACCTTAGACCACCATTATTGACAATGATTACTTATTACTGGCACATTCAATTGAATTTATCTTAACAAATAAAGAAAACTTGGCTGAAAATTGTTATTTCTGTTACAGTAACATTAAAGGTCCACAGATCAGGACTTCCCTGTGCCTGTACTTTATAAAAACATAATGAAAAGTACTGCACATAGAACAAAGTGCTTGACATCTAACTAAAGAAAACTATAATCTAAATGTCAATCTTCAAATAGAAAGAAACATGGTAAGTATAGAAGCATGAAAATCCCAGAACCAATGTGAAAATTTTCGTCAACTTGATGGGTACTGACATTAGAGAACTTGAGTCTTGGATTTTGTAATGATGTCACCTTATGACCATTAGTGATGATTAGTGATTCTTCTTATGAAGAGAATTTTTAAAGGGAAAAATCTTCCTGCAGTTTCAGAAGTGTTCACAAGAACCTTCTCCCAGGCTTGTAGGACAGAAAAAGAGAAAGTATGGAGGGTTTTTCTTTAAAACAAGATGTAAAGGAACCTAAAATAACACGTCACTTAAGAAGATGTAAGATTTCCTACTTCAAGGGGAACCAGCTTTTTTTTTCTTCTTTTGAATTGTATGTGGATGAACAAGAATCTACTTTTCTTAGAGTGTAGAGATTTTATATCTGTGGGATATGTTTGTAATATCCATTTTCAGTACGAGACAAAGAGGATAATTAGCTACCAGGGACTGGCACAAAGGAGTAAGTCAATGCTGCTGCAGTGAGAGAATGCATGTGTACACAAAAGGGTAGGAAGATGACTGTGAAGGGATAGAGGTAAAACACAGCAGACATATAAGAACTACTTCCCAAGGCACACACACAAAAAATAAATTACCAGATGGTAGAAAGAAGTATTCTCCGTTTGCTTGGGCATTTCTCACCTTTGGGAACTTCGTGCCTGCTTACATTTGTGTTTTTGATATTTATAAATCTAATTGCTTCAGAAGGCACATAATTTTTACTTACAGACTGATTCAGCACCATTTGTATGGTCCAGCTGTGCTGCCTGTGGCACATAGGGCATCTTCTCTGACTCCTGCAGCAGCCTCAGAAAAACCTTTCATGAAAGTAGAAAAAATTGATTTAGAATCTATTTTCTAAAATTATTATATATATATGTATATATCTTAAACCATCCAGACTGTCAGAAATTACTACTGACTGCTGTAAACACCTTGTTGGAATATGACTATAAAGTTAGTCAAGCTCTTTGGTTAAAATCCTGCGGATAAAGGAAATGAAATAAATGTCAATAGATGCAAAAACACCCATGCAAAACATTGCTGACCTCTGAACACTACTATCTGCAAAAATTTTTCAGTAGACTGTCTGCCCTTGATTGACTTTTTATGCTCCTAAGCCTTGATATATGTTGGAACTCAGTTACTGCAGTTTTTACCAAGGAAACAGCTTAACTCTTTTCTGATGCTCCAGCTAGAAATCTATGGGCACAACTGGAACTGATACCAAAGAGCTCTAGCTGTACTAGAACACCTAAATCTAATGTACAAAATCCTACAGAGCTGAGAACCTACAGATTCCAGGGAATTCACAATGTCTAGGGACACTCAGGAAATGTTCCTAGATATGTGCAAACACATAGACAATAATGTTACTGAAAGACATTGAAAGGACAAGGCAATCATCAGAGACAGCCAAGGTGAGTAAAGTCTTGTAAAACTGATACTGCAGAGAGGACTGGGCAACAATGTGTGGTTTGTAGCAAAACATTAGTGTGCATAGCCCAAATTGGGTAGCGATGGTAGGGTTTTGTTACCTAAAATCACCATGAGAAAAACTGAAATTACTTTCTAATAAAAGCAACAATCTAAAAATATGCACTAGATTGAAGTTGAAAGGATTGATTTTTCTAAGGTAGGGAAATTCATGTCAGAAGGGACTTAAACTTATAAAAACCCAGCAGAATTCACCATTTTCATGATCATGAGGTCTATTTAAATTGTATATACACTTTGTCAAACAGATTTGCGTTCAACCTACTGTATCTTCCTTAAACCTGTTTCACAGTTCTGTCCACATAAAGCCCTTTGAATTTCACAGACATGCATTTCATTTATCTGTACCTCAGCCTTGCAGAAGCTTTCATAGTGAGCCTTATTCACACACTCCCCACTTCTTGTAAGCTCAAACTAAAAGCACAATTAACATTTTCTTATCTTAACCTGAACTGCAATTTAAACAGTGATCTAAGAACCTCAAGTAAAAAAAAAGAAAAATTTACAGAAAATACAGGTACCATGATCATCTCAAATTAAACAGAAAAATAACAACCAATTCTTTTCTTTGTCTTGATGAAAGTTTTCTTTTGCTCTTTCCTCTCTGTTTGGGTTGAGCTGCAAGACAGATTATACCCACAGTGCAACTTTCAGAAATCATTAAGAAACCATTTATTTCTTCCCATAAAAGAACCTGATCTCAGCTATAACAAAAAATTCCTTGTTTCCAAGGAGCTCATACAATAGACAATAAAAACCAGTCAATGTGAAGTACTTTATAGCTCTTGAAAGATACTTCTTGACTTTCTAAGGTCTAAATGTTACAAAAAACATATTTTGCTTAGTCAATATAATTGCCATTTAACAGTGGTTATTGATTGCATTTGTTACCTGCCAGCTTTCAGGGAACAACTTTGGCCATTAACAACTGCAAGACCAGAAATTTCTGGCCTGGTATTTCTGTATTAGACCCTGGAGGCAGATCCTGACAGTCTAAAGCCACATTCTAATTTGTTATCTTGGACCTGCTTGCTGGTGGCTCTGAACACTAATTCTGTCAAGCAAACCAAACTAAACTGCAACAACTGAATCACAGAATCACTGAATGTCCTGTGTTTGAAGGGACCTTTAAGATCATCTAGTTTCAACCCCTCTGCCATGGACAAGAACATGTTCCAATGGATCAGATTCTTCAGAACTCCACACAGCCTAGTGTTGAACACTTCCAAGGATGGGACATCCACAGTTTCTCTGGACAACCTGATACACTGCCGCACCACCACCACAAAATAGAATTTATTCCTAATGTCTAATTTGAACCTACTCCCCTTTGTCCAGTCACTGCATGCTCTTGTAAAAAGTCCCTCTCTCTCATAGGCTCCCTTCAGATACTACAAGGTCACAATTAGGTCACCTCAAAGCCTTCTCCTCTTTCAGCTGAACAATCCTAACTCTCTCAGCCTTTCCTCATGGGAGAGGTTCTCCATCCATCTATTCACCTTGGTTGCTTCCTCTGCACTCACTCCAACAGTTCCCTGTCCCTCGTGGGCTGGGCCCCCAGATCTGGATATCTGGATGCAGCACTGCAGGTGGGGTCTCACCAGACCAGAGGAAGGGGAGAAGAATTCCCTCCCTTGCCCTGCTGCCCACGCTGCTTTGGATGCAGCCCAGGACACGTTTGGCTCTCTGGGCTGTGAGCGCCCATGGCTGGGTCATGTCCAACCTCTCATGCACCAGAACCCCCAAGTCCTTCTGGGCAGAGCTACTCGGATCTGTTCATTCCCCAGCCTGGGTTGGTACTGGGGGTTGCCCAGACCCAGGTGCAGCACCAGGACTTGGTCTTGTTGGACATCATGAGATTCCCACGGGCCCAATTCTTAATCATGTTTAGCTCTCTCCAGATGGCATCCTGTCCCTCAGGTGTGTCAACCACTTGGTGAAACCACAAAGTAACTACACATCCGTGGTCAGGACAATGCCTACACTACAAAACATTGCCTGCATATGTTTACTTCAGTGCCAAAATAGCTGCAGACACATTTTCTTATTTTCTCTCATTAAGTCACTGTAGAGAGGATGTAGTTATACCCTAAAAAAAAAAAATAAACAAACCCACCAAATGGTTTCCTATGTCTGTTGTAGCTTTATTGACACATACTCTAATACATCTATAAAGGCAGAAGGCCACCTGCATTGCCCAGTCCCCCCACCATGGTATCCAGTTTTCAAACCTCCTCTTAAGAATGGGAATCATTAGGGACTACATTGCACAGATGATGTGATAATTTACCTGGTGTTGCACCAGATATTGTGAACAGAAGTGGTATTAGCCTAACAATGTTATTAACAGAGTATCTGAAACACACAGGTATGGGAAAGTCAGGATTAGACACCATGATAAAGGGACAGTATGTTCTTGCTACATTTAAATGAGGGTGTATTCTAGACCTCAGCAGAGCATCCTTTCCCCACATGCCTTAGTAATTCCTGCTTTCTCAGTTGGTCAGAGCATGGTGTTAATGAAAGCAAGGCTGGTGTTCAATCCCTATGTGGGCCATTCACTTAAGACCTGGACTTGATGACCCTTTTGGGTCCCTCCCAGTTCAGAATGCTCTGTAAAATTCTGTAATTCTCTGAAACTGTTTTAATTTCTGTTTTGACTAGCAAGTCTATACCTGACTAATGACTTGTCCTTGTCAAGGACAAAAAAGGGCTTTTCGTTCTTGAGGAAACAAGTCTGGCCAAATGACAATATTACAGTGAAATACATTAATGTGACTGTGCCATCACCAGAATGCGTTGGAGCACCCTGCATCTCACTGGAAGGTGCACATCAATTCTAGGAGGTATATGCCTTTCCCTGGAAAGTTTTGATGCAAACTCTCAGGTAATTTCAAAGAAAATAATTTAAAAGCAGTACTCAATTAACAAATCTTGACACATCTTATTTTGAAAAGGTGCTACAATTGTTTTGTTCTCCCCTCAAAGAAAAGCAAGAAAGCAATATGCTTTGAAACCTCCAGAGTTGCCAGAAAGTGAAAAAACATCCTCCAGAGAGCTCTTAGAATACACTTAATTAATTACCCTTCTATTCTCCTTTTGGTTCTGTCAACACTTTGGATTACAGGTATTATAGAATACACAAATACAAATGGTTGAAAAAGATATCCAGAGCCTAAATTTGAGCAAATATAATATTAGTGAGATTTAAAGGTGTCAGAAACTGATTTGTTAGAACTTCAAGATTCCTTTGAAATATGAATGGAAGTCCATTTTCCCTCAGTGAACACGATTTTTAGAGAGTGTGAGTGTCCCTCAGAATAGAAAGAATAATGGTGAGTATATAAGAGAATAAAAAAAAATTATAATACATTTCTTCCTTTAAACCCAGAGTTCTTTGTTTCCAGATTGAATTGCTTGAATAGATTAAATAGTGCTACTATGTGCTATCCTTTTAGTTCCAAACACAAAGGGCTTTTGATAAGGTAATAGAGAATTGAGGTTGTAATGACAGCTAATGATGAGATGCAGAGATGACAGAAATCAACCCGAATTAATGCATTAAATCTTCAAGCTGAAGAATGATACATTAATATCTAATATCACATTTAAAGATGTTTTAAACTTCCCCTTCACAGAACAGCTAAAAGCAAGCTTGTAACTGAGTCACTGATTCAGCTCATTGAGGAATCTTCCTCATATCATGACAACTTCATATTTACTTTATACATGTCATTTCTGGAGAGTCCTGTGTTATCTCATGGGGATATAACCTAAAAGCATTCTTAACATATACATTACCTCCAAATCTGTAATGTTTGGCAGTGAACAATATTATTCCTTATACCATGTTAATCATCCATCTTCTATATGAACATAAAAACTTTTCAATATTTTTATTTGCCTCATATAATTGTATCTCAGGAATCTAATTTACTTAATATTAAATTAAATGTTTATTAAACTTGTAAATTATGTATGATAGGAGACATTAGTCTCTTATCATCACTTGAAGTGAAAAAAAATTATTTCTAAAGGATCTGTAGTACAGTACTTGGGTAGTGGTGATTTAGGGAATCTTGTTATTTAGAAATTATAGATGGGGTAAAAAGAGTCCAAGGAAGGGAAATAACCTCTTGCTGACATGGCTATGTATACAGAGCTAAATTCAGAATTATGTAGATGCATAACAGACTCTCTTCCTCTGATCCATTTAGTATATGCACACACATACATGTACATTTATGTGTGTGTATATATGTTGATGTATACATATATCAAACACTTTCTCTCCTGGTATACACAGAAAATATTCTTTTGAATATAGGTATTTCATCACACAGTTTGGCTAAGTCCTAAGCTTCAGAACTAGTAAGCTCAAATGTATTCTTAGCTTTTTTTTTTTTTTTTTTCAGTCCAAAGAGCCACCTAAGCTGAATCACCAGACTTGAAAGCCCAAAGCTTGTTCCAATGCTATGGGCTTAGGACAACACTGCTTCTCATCAAATCAATGACACATTACATTTCCCTTAAGTTAATGTAGAAAAAAAAAATTAAGGGTTACACAGTTCATCAGTCTTCACATAAGATTCTTAAAATAAAAAGATATGCCATAGTAGAGTGGGTGCTGAAATTAACAGCAAAGCAAAACTACACAGTATAGATTTTACCTGATTTGGGAGGATGTGTTTGTTTGTTTGCTTGCTTGTTTTTGTTTTGGGTTTTTTTTAAACGTGCTTCTCACAAGAAATTGTGAAACATAAAAGATACTATCAAGATTTTCTAACCAAGAAAATGTCATTACACAGAAAAACTACAAGTACCTCTTCCAAAGTTGTGTCAGAAATGCCATAGCCAGTCACATGTAGATCCTGAAGGCTTTGATCTAAAGCGTGGAAAAGACCTTTAAAAGAGGTCTTATCTGCCCTTTCTGGGATCAAATAGGTCAGCTCAGTTCCACTGTTATCTTTCAAGAAGGCTTCTGGAATGTAGGTCTGTACCAGAGAAGTGACCTGAACAATGTGCTTAGGGTCCTGGATTTCAAACACAGAGGGCTATGAAGAAAGAAAGAAAGACAATCATGCAGAAAAAGTTAAGTATTACCAGAAGTATTGGTCTTAATATTAGAATTCATACAGGAAAAATTCCACTGATGAAACTGTATCACAGCTGGGATACAGAGACTACCTTCCAGGAATAAAGGACAGTGAGACAAGCCCGTTTTCAGCTAAATACTGATAACATTTTCAAAGATTCCATTGTGTTCATCCAAATAGAAATAATAATACCATCCATCCAAAACAACCAAGGAAGCTGATAAAAACATGTTTTGCTGGTTGTCCAATAATCATATTACTAAACATATTACTTCCTGTCAGGGACATACATCTCCCTTGAAATGTACTTGGTAGGCACTCTCCAGTTCAGTACAGTACATTTTTAACTTACCTTTTTTATGAGTGTTAGACTGTGTCCCTGGCCATATGTCTCCCTCAGATAGGAGGGAGAACCACAGCACCTCAGCTGGCCATGCTGCAGGATGGCAATGCGATCACTGAGCACCTCCGCCTCATCAAGATGGTGAGTGGTAAAAATCAGGGTACAACCTGCATGACAAAGACTGGTACAGGTCTACAAAACCTGGTTTCTAGAGAAACCCCTCACAAGGGTCCTTTAGCCCTAGGCAAACATATTTTCAGGACTCTTCAAAATCTTAACACAGGACGCAAACAAAATATGCTGTCAGAACGGTGAATTGAGTTAGATTCAGTTCTAAAATTACTTTGCCCTGTTTTATACAAAGCTTTTCAGGACTCTTCAAAATCTTAACACAGGACGCAAACAAAATATGCTGTCAGAATGGTGAATTGAGTTAGATTCAGTTCTAAACTGAATCTAACTTTGCCCTGTTTTATACAAAGGAAACATTATTAAGTCTTTAGAACCTCCAGTTTTAAAAGCTTAAGAAATTCCTTAAAATTGCATAACAGCAGTGTCTCTTTCAATGGATCACTCAATGTGAGTTATTACAGCTGACTGAGTGATCACTAGCTGAAGAGTTTGCTTCCCACAATCAGTTTTATAATTAGTGTAGCAGACTGACAACTAATATATTTTAATTAGAAGTATATAACCATCTATATACAGGTATGTGCAAAATAGAAAATGGAAACCAGAAAGTAATTTTGAGAAGCAGAATAAAGGGGAGAAACTTTAGAACAGGACTTAGGACTAAGCTCAGTCTTTTTTAAGATTCAGGGTCTTTCTGTGCAATAGCAGATAATTCTTGTAATACTATTTGACTTGCCTTAAAGTTACCAAGATCAACTTAATGTTTCCTCATAAATTAATGTTTTCAGCTTCTGATAAAATTTTGACTACACTTTGACTATCTAGTTTAAATTTATTGAAAAAAAAAATCCAGAAAAGAAAATAAGAAGCAAATAACGCGCATAAACTTTGTACCAGCTTTGTACTTCAGAAGCACATCCCAGATACTACGGCGAGAACATGGATCTACTCCACTGGTGGGCTCGTCCAGAACAACTGTCTTTGAGTTTCCAATAAAGGAGATGGCAATTGACAACCTTCTTTTCATTCCCCCAGAAAGGGCTCCAACAGGTTTGTACTGATGTTGGGATAAATCCACATCTTCCAGAGCTCTGAAAGAGGAATACAGAAACAGGACCAATTTTGAAAATGCTTTTCTTGTCACATTCTGTCCACTCAGAGAACAAGTACTGAAAAGACATTGTAAATGGAAAGCAATAGAATCACTACCTCTGTCTGATTACATACTTTTGTATCAAAAAAAAAAAAAATAGGAAAAAAAATCTCTACCTACAAAGCAGAAATGCTTATCATCCTCAGATGCACAGATTTTAAATAATATTGTAAAGGAAAATTTTAAATTAAAGATAATAAAATTAATATTAGTTTGTCCAACAACTTCAGCAAACTACAGATTATAGTCCCTTTAAATAATTATAAAGACTGCTAATTTTGTGAAATAAACTGATAAGAGATCCCTGGGTAGAATAATACTATCTAATCAAATCTAATCTAATTAAAATCTAATCTAATTCCTATGTTAAGGACTGGGAGACATCTCACAGATGTTTCCAATTCAGCCCTTGCCCTTGCAAGATGCTGGTCTTGCATCTGAGCATGGAAATGGTATGGAAACATGATTAATAAGGGCAACACTATAAAGACTTTAACTTATTTTTTATCACACTGAGCATACAGTCACTGACCTAAGAGCTTTCAGCTGCTATCAGCTTGGCAAGCAAGACATAGAAGGCTCAACAGTCCTAAGCTAAACTCCTGAATCATTTCAGTGCATATGCAGTCTGAGTGAATAAATAATGCCATTTACCCTGAGAGAATTTCAAAATTTAAAAAAAACACATCTCAATAGCTGTTCTATAGACATATAATGAGAAAAATTATTCTTAAGCTCTTCAGAAGCCTGCTTCTTTAGTTAATAAAAGGCTTTTGCTTCATTCTTTTTTTTTGTTTTTCTAATTTCTCTGAAGTAAGACATATAATGAGAAAAATTATTCTTAAGCTCTTCAGAAGCCTGCTTTTTTAGTTAATAAAAGGCTTTTGCTTCAGTCTTTTTTTTTTGCTTTTCTAATTTCTCTGAAGTCTTTTAAAGCATTTGTTGCCTTTAAAAATAATTTTTCTTAGTAGCAAGGCCTGCAGAGTTCTGAATATTCTCATGTGCCATTAGCACGACAGACTGCTGCTAGAATTACAATTCAGCAGTCTAAGTACATTAAGATACAGAATATTATTTCACATCAATTTTAAACCATTTAATAAGTTTGTTTTATCTCTGTAGTTCTTGAGAATTCCTGCTGTTGCTTCTGGAGAGACTATGATGTCCACACCTGAGTTTGTTCAGATTGAAATTTAAAAGTAACAGGCTTTTATGATTGCTCCCAAAAAGGAAAGCCACTTTGCCAGAAATGCCTCTGCATATGCCTGATTGTACACTTAAGAAGTCCCATCAACCTGACATTTGTTTCCATTGAAGCATGGAAATGCCCAGCCCTTCACAGAGCCTAGCATGAATCAGAAGGTAAACAGAAACTATTTATACTGCCACACTGTTTGAAAAGCACACCTTTTATTTCTGAAGTAGAATAAACACAGTTTGGTATTAATGCACCAGATCTCAACTTGTACAGTTTACTAGTTAGTTTAATATACACTAGGAAAAATTGAGATCTAGTCCTATATTGAAGTATCAGCAAAAAACACTAGCAATTGTTTAGAACCTGACAAGTGGCAAATCCTCTGAGTTCATGTCAGAGCTCTGACTTTTTTTTGCTATTGCATTTTTCATTTTTAAACCTCATCATTTATCAAAAATATTTCAAGGTTGGATTTGGCAAAGGAAAATGAGGTGGCTTATTTAAAAATATTGTAACAATCTCTGCCTTTACCTGGATTTTCTGGTTTTCTAACCTTCCTTCTGTTGCAGGTGAAGGAATAAAGGATAATAAATATATAAAATCATTTTCTTGATTTACTTAAAAACTCGGGGCAAGCACAGCAGTTTTCTTTCTATCTGTTTCTCCATCAAGGACAGAGGTAAGGCAGACAGCATGAGGTGGAACCCCTGCAACTTTTACAAGGCTAACCACCTCCTCTCCAGTGAAAACATCATTATTTGATGGTTCTGTATACCAGGTTTTTAAACATTGACAGCTCCTTCTACAAATATATTCGAGTAATAGTTAGACACTAGGAAATATATTTTCAAGTAACGATTTCAGAACATAAAATGTGACAAAAACTCACAAAACCCTGCAGTTACCATTGTTTTTTTCTTGTAATTTTTGCATTTTCTCTTTTTTATTTGGGTGGCTTGCAACAGTCATTACCAATTTACTTGAGAGATTTCAAGAAAGGGAAGGAAAACTCACCCACTGACTTGCTCATCCAACTGTTCCTTTGTCCACCCTGGTGCCTTCACTGACCCGTAAAGCAGGAGATGCTCTCGCACCGTCAGCGTGTTGAACAGGACGTCGTACTGGGGACAGACACCCAGCTCTGTCCTGATGGCAGCCAGCTCAGTCCGGATGTCCTTCCCATCAACAATAATGGTACCAGAGCTCGGTGGATACACACCAGTCAACAGGGATCTGATACAAGAAAAGAAAAATAATAATTCAGCAAGATAACGTACAATTAGTTCATCACTTAGATATCCTTAGACATGTTTTAACATCCTTAGAGCAACACCAATTCAGTCAAGTATAATTATAGAGATATCACTAATGTTTTAGGTTTGGGTTTAGATACTTTTTTAAATTGGTGGCTTTTTGGGTTGGGATTTTTTTTGGTTTTTGGTTGGTTTGTTGATAGGTTTTTTGTACATGATCTCAACAGTTCCTAATTTCCCTTCCTCCAGAGACAAATCTTTTTTTTTCCCCAAGCAAATCTAACAGGTGGTTGTTTCCTTCTTCACATGGGTATTCTGTAGGTCCCACCCTGCATCACTGGATTAATGAAAGCTGATTATGGCTAACAGAAAGGTAGAAACATAAACTTCTTAGTTGAGACATTTTGAAAGGTAATTTTTCATTTTATTACTTTCATTTCTGGTCAACTGCCAAGAAAGAAGTCCTCTGTGAATTCTAGGGACAAAAACACCATAAAACTTCATGCTCTCTATGTGATAGGTTGCCAAAAAAGAACACTCCTTCAAAATGTGTTCAACTCCACAACCAGACATGCCCAAGTCCTACTTAAGGTGTTCCTGAGATATCACATCATGGTTTAAGTGGCACAGAGGACTCAGTTCTCTACTCATTACATTCCTTTCATCATAGATTTACAACTTTCACTTTCCATGAGCTTTGAGGAGTTTATTAAATATTTATCTGGGTGGGGGAAGAAAAAGCATGGCAAATAGTTCACAGAATTTTAAACTGAAAAAGCATAGCAGAGATCAGAGGGGACAGTAACAGCATTAAAAGTCAGGCTTACATAACTGTTGTCTTTCCAGCTCCATTAGGTCCCAGGAGCGCTGTTATTTGGCCCTTATGGAAAGTGAGGTTGAGATCTTTGACAGCCGCCTTCTGACCATCCACGTGCTCCTTGGTGAGGGACAGCAGCACAACACCGATGGTGGCTCCTTCAGTGCAAGGGACTTTCCAACCCTGAGGTGCAGGGTCTGTGTGGGGAAGAGTACCAGAACGAGCAGGTTGCTGAATCTAAACATGTGTTTGTGCATAAAAGGAATAACAAAATAACTTAATTTCTCCTACCATTTACCAAAGCCTAGAACAGATGTTCAAGTTGACTGAACTGACATAAACTACATTGAAATTAAACTTATCACGCCAATTAATATTTGCTAAGAATTTGACCCATTTGTTATGCCAAGTAATGTGCATGTCTACATGTGTCTTGATAAAGTCATAAAATAGTTGCTATATTTTATTCCTAGTAAAAGAAATACTTATAATAACATTACTTGAATAATTTTTTATGCCCTTAAGCATTAGAAAATTCTAACTGCATAAGCTACTTCATGTATGTCATCCAGTTTCAGGCACACAATATTGACATCACATTCACAGCACAGGCAGTTAATCTTCTCAATTCCCCTTAGTCAACTAAGCAAAGCAGATCTCTGAAACAATTCAGAGCAGCAGCCTACTCCAAGTATAATTCAATATGTTCAAAGCAAGCAGATATCCAACACTTTTCTAGCTGTGAGGTATCATCCTCAGGAAACTGAGATGCCATATGACATCAATGAAGTTGCCTTCCTTTCCATGTCAGGTTTGCACTACTTTCCAAACACGAGCACAGTCAACCAGCAGCCCCATTACATTATTCATGTTTAATATTTTATTGACTCATTACTACTTAGAGATCTGGCAGTGAGTTGGTTTATTTTATTTTTAAGCAAAGGCAAGCCAAACTGGAATGTTAGTCCAAAGTAACAAATGTTTATGCCTGAGAATTATGAAAAGAGAGAACTATCCTTATGAATATAAATAAGACATTTATGGATTATATTTATATTCTTTGCAATGCCTTTACTTAAATAAAATGCAAACATTACAAGAACTATCCTATACATAAAGTACTTGAATTGGATAAATCAAATTATAAATTAAAAAATACATAATTATTTCAAAGATTGGTTTGTTTACACTGTGAATGAAGAAGTTTGGTTTGCCGCTTTCACACTCAATTTTAAGCTTCTGACAAAAATTCTTTCTAAACTTGAGGTCACTTGCTAGCAAGGTGCTACTAGCAGTTGTGACACTACTAAGATCTCCTACCCATGCACCTCTCTTCCAGGTACCTTTCTGCTGTTTCCTAAACTTGCATCCTTTAAATTAAAAAAGAAACATTCACCTGCAGAGGGGCCTCAGACAATGTAGCTCAGGAAAGACTCAGAGTGAGAGCTCCAAGTTCCTTGCAGACACTAAATGATTACCCTGGGAGTTCTCAAAAAGGGGAGCTCCAAGTGGGTACACTGCACCCTGGTCACTGCCAGCCCTGCTGTAGTTCCAGTTCCAGCTGGTAGGACCTGTGCTCCCAGCTCCTCCCTCACACACCTCTGATTCCCTAAATGTTCTCTCTGGGACCAGCCCTTAGCTGGGCTGCAGGGAACAAGTGAAGAAATTGCCGGAAGCAAGTCACTTTGCTGTTTCTAGAAAATTCTTCATGGCTGCTTTTATCCCATTGTCAGTACAATGGCACACAATTCTTTTAAAGGACATCAAGCTCCTTTGCTGCAGACAGTTTTAGCATTCACACACAATTTGCTATCAACCACGCGACATGAGGAAATCACAAAGAATGTGAGACAGAAACCACACTAAAACTGGTCAGGCAGAGAAGTTTGTCTTTGTTTTCTGCAGATTATGTGGTGAACCCAGAAGGAAACACTGGAAATCTTCATTTTATATAAGGACCAAACACAATTGTCTTAACAAAATGGAGTTGTTCCAAATTGCAGGAATTTAGACAAAACGCATACAAATAGTTTTTTCCACGAGTGTTTAAAAGGAACCTCAAGACATTTTGAAGCCTGCTCCAATCCAGGAGACACCTGAACAACTGCTGAGTTGTTCAGCTTCTTCACCTATGCTACAAACAACTGGATCATTTCTAAGATAATTGTAACTCCCAAAAAAGCACAACAAGCCATCACGTTGCTCTAAGGCCCAAGATGGAATACAGGTGAAAGTAACTTACTCCTTCATTTCCAAAACCTAAACTAAATGTGGGAACACCCTTAAAGGGACTGGGGAGAGGGAAAAAGGCAAAAAAAAAAAAATCTGAATTAATTGTAAGCAAGTGAGCATACATAGAAGAGCAGTGAAATTGGAGGCTGATAAAAAATTAGTGACAATAAGAGCTTTCTAGACAAAAGGCTAAGAAGCAGAGACAGAAAGAACAGTGATTATCAAAGAGGAAGATAAGTAACAGAAGGGAAAGAAATGAACAAAGTTAATTTTTCCACTGAAACAAGAAGAAAATTTTTTAAAAGTTAATAAAGCCCAACATGTTTCAGATTCAGGAAGAGTATGAAAGGATTCAGTGAATTCCAAAAGATCCAAACAAAGCAAGGGGGCAATACACTGGGACAGGATGAACCCAAGAGATACTTATTTTACATCTTTCAAAGAGTTTTCTTAAATATTTCTGTACAATAGTTTCCACTGCATGAATCAATCATTACAGGGGGTAGCAAAATGTAACAGTTACAATATAATATTCATAGTATATACTACATAATGAAAGAGAGAAAGAGATAAGATATAAACATAAAATAGAGGACCAAGCCCTGACAAAAGTAGATTGAATATGACTAGCCCACCATTCAGAAAAAACCCTATTGTTCAAATTCTATTAATACAAACCTTTTTCTTGGAAGTTTTCATTGAAGAAAAATATATTAGAATTCAGATAATCTCTCTTGCTTCTCTCTGTACACAGGTTCTTCCAGTAGGAAACAGTAAAGGGAAAGTACCACTGGTTCTTCAATCCAAATTTTCCTATGTTAGAATTGTGACATAAACTGTTGAAAAACTTATAGTCATTTTGCATCTGACTGTACACTAAAAATGTCCTATTATTGCTTACAATGTGTTGGTTAGACCATTTAATTAGACCAAATACTTTTCTCTACTTAAAAATGTTAATAAAGCGCAAAAAAAAAGTCATTTGGTCATAAAACCAGGTCCTTCCATAAAATAATCAAGTCTCAGTGATGCTTTACCCTGTCTCCAAATCAGCTTCAAAGTGTAACAGAATCATAGACCTTACAATCTTATAACCCACCGGGAAGAAGATGGACGAAATAGCCTGCCAAGACAAAGAGCCTATTTTTTTAATTATAAAAATAGTTCATTACACCACTTCTTCCATTAATATCTGCAAAATGCAAACAAATCAGCCGCCAAAAGAAACACTTATTGTGGCACACAAACAAAAAGGACAAAAACGTAGTCATGTATAAAAGCTAATCTTTGGCAGTGCCTGATCTTTTCAGGCATTACTTACCCATCACACACTCACTCTGGAGTGTCATTATGTTGACACTGAAGGACAAGTGTCAATTGATAATAAAGTTTTTTAAATTCAGTTGCATATTCCACCCACCCCTATCTTTCAAGGCAAAATAAAATTTAATTTCATTAAAAAAGAAATACAAAGTAGCCAAAAGAAAAAGCGACATATGCAAATCAGAGGAAAGGTAAATCATCAGAGGAAAGGTAAAACATACAGTGAGGCATGAGGCCAGGATTAAAAATACATTAAACAACTCAGTAAGACTTATAAAACTTGGTTCATGAAAAAATTTAAATAAGCACACCATTACTTTCTGAAGATATACTTGAAAACCAATTTGTTTTCTCTATACACGGGACTGTGGACTGATTGGGAACAAGATACAGTTACTGTGCTGTCTGAAGTTTTTTCGTCTCAAAACATGCTGTTGTGCATGGGTTTCAGCCCAGGTACTGAGAGGAGATTCACCATTTTTCCAAGATGTTTTGCTTCTAGACTAAGCTCTCTTACTGTGAAGATCCAATGAATTCCTAATTCTATCAAATATTTGGCATACCCATCAGCAAACAAAAGATATTTCATGCCTGGCTACAAATTCTAGTCCATGTGTTAGCACTAGTCAGTATTTATGTATTTAGGGAGATGTTGTTTCTCAGTCCCTAAAGAAAGTCAGACAGTTTTGTACAACAGAACCATAACTCATAAAAATACATATTTTTTTATTTGCATAAAACCAAGAAAGACAATGCCACAATAAGTGTTTTCTATGGCGACTGAATGTTTATATTGTGAAGATATTAATGGATGAATAATATTAAATAACTTCTTCAAAAACATAAGATAAGAACAAGCCCATGATCTTACCAGGAATAATATTGCTGAAATACCAGCCACATACAAAATATAAAATAGAGTCAAAGAACATCATCCAGCACATCCATCCAAAGGTCATGTATCCTCCTTGTGCCGTTGACTGGTGCACATTATCCCACTGAATTCCTGGTAGTAATAATAATGATTTTTTTAAAGGTCAAAGCTAGATCAGTGCAGCATTAAAGATCACAACACATCAACACCGCACATTTCTGGACATTTAAGCACTGGCACACGACAAACTATAGTTAATAACAATAATCCTAATGAACACAAGAAAATTTCTATGCCTCTACAAGTCTGTGTATAGAACAGCAGGTGACACTGCTGCTGGGAAAATGTAGGGAAGATGTTTTAGAAAGGGTTGTTTATGAAGTTTAAGCTGGCCCTTAATTTGGCAAAAGAAAAAGAACTACAACACTGACAAAATGAATCAGGCTTTAAGCCACTCTGCTAATATAAAGACAAGGATTACACAAAGTTTAATGCCATTTCTATAATGCTAAATCTGAAGATTTAAATCTGTGAATTCTAACTAAGAAGCATTGTGTACATTGACTGCATTTAGAAGTAAACATGAATGAACTCACTGAATAATTGCTTCATAAAATTATTACATTGCAGAAAACACGAAAGGAAAAAAGAAGGCACAAACACCAGTGCTACAGAAAGCTACCATACTGCTAAATGGAAAACAAAAGTAACAAAGTTGTAAATTTATTAATAATATTGCATTTTTTAAACTGAAAATGCCACTTTGTTTGCAGTACAGTGGATCATTATATTTCTTCTACAATTCTTTTTCCACAATTGTCAAGGAAAGTGGTTTCTCCCAAAACACATTTTGCCCTTCCTTCAGTAAAACAAGACATTTTCATGAAGTGTCTGGTGGGAAATTTAAGTAATATATTCTGCAATTGTCTCTTCTACTCTTACAAACTGTTGTACCATTATGACACTTTTTCAATAGTTTGAAACATCCAATGTCATGAATATTGTTCTTGCCATAATAGTAAAAAAATTGTTACATCTATTAATATATCTGAACTTGATCCAGCTTATTAATTTATTAGAGATTTTTCAGAACAGATTGAAAAACATTTCCAGCTGTAGCTTTTGAAATAATAATTACAAAGCTTTTCTCCTAACCAAAGACCTTACCTATTTCTTGGCCCTCAAAATATGTAATGAAAAATATTCCTTGCCCAAAGGCGGTTGTAGAAAGAAGACACTACAACATCAGAGGAGAAAAAGTATGTGAACATCAAATAAAAACATGCTGTTAACAAGTTCCATGAAATAAAATATACTGTGATACTAAAATCAAGCACAAACTAAATAGACATTTTTTTCCTCCACATGGGCCAATGGTTGCTATTTCATTTTATGTTTTAACCATACTCCCCCACAAACCTTCGCAGTATTTGTTCCACCTAACAGAGCTCCACTAACCTAGTTACTAATACTGGAAAGTGTTATTTCATCTGACCAACTGACACTGAAAAAAATGAGCATTTTTTAACAGTGTATGTATTATTCCACCAGCCTAATTTAGTGAGTTGTCCTGAAATAGTGAAGCCATAATGTGTGAAATATATTTTGTTCATATGATGGTGATACTTCATGTCACATTCAGGGATATGGTATTTTAGCACAGTACAAAGACATAAAACAGGCTATGGAATACATAGAACAGGAAAGGACCTGAAAGAACCTACACCAAAGAAGCACATACCTCATATTATATGGTTGGACAAATTTCTGATCTATTCTCCAATTACATTAACAGAAAATTAATCACTATTTTTTTTCCAAATAAATAATGACTTTGAGAAGTGGCATGTCATCAGCTGATCTTGAAAATACACTAACGTTAAAAATATTTTGAAGTCAAGACATTAAGAGAACTCATGAGTATGAGGAATGCAACTTCCTGATATTTTCTGTAGATATACAAAATTACCCTGGCACATTATTTTTCCTTCCTTTCTATCTCTAAATATTTTCTTGGTTGAAGATTTATTATTGTGATTTATTTCCTATAGTCACAAAAGCAAACACGGGAAAAAATAAATACATTATGCTCTGAAGTTTTGAAACTATAGAAATTCACAGCATAGCTGGAGGAGGAAAATTAGAAAAGAATAAATATTTACCATTATAATCTGGTTGGTGAAACTCAGCTGGTTCTGCAAGACCAACAAAACTATGTAGGGTAAAAAGCTGATCATATAGACAAGGCTGGCACACAGAGCTGCTGTATCGGCACTGCTGAAAAACACTCCCAAAAAATAGCTTAACATGATGACTGTAACTCCAAATTCCAGGAGAAAAAGGAAGATAAGGAAACCATTGCTATAAGCAAAGATACCACTTGCTTTTAAAATGATGGCCAGAGCACAGCTGCTTACTGTGAGCACAATGACATTCTCCAAAAACCAAGCAAAGAAATGAATGGCTGGATACACACCCATTGTCTTCATATACTGCAAGACAGCAGAGCAAAGAGAATTAAAGTCAGGAAACAAACTTGCTTTTCTTTTTTCTTTTTTAAACAAAAAAGGATGTTATCTTTCCCTTAAATTTCTTGTTTCTTTGCTCTTGTGCTGTGCTCTCTCCTGGATCAGACAGATTGAGCAGGGCAGTCTCTGAGATCAACACACATGAGCACAAGGAATCACCATGCTCAGCAAAATTCTCTTTTGCATAGGGTTTCAAAAGCAGAGGTCAGACTACTGGTTGTTCCAGATAGGATTTTGCCTTTTCATACTCTAAAAAGTACTGAGAATATACAACAGCAATATATGTACAATTTTTTTTTCTCAGCCTGTTGCTCTTCTGAAAGAGGCATACAGTTTGTAACCTTTATGTATTACCAGGCAAATAATAATTTAGCCAGGTATGAAGTACATCCCTCTTTTTCTAAAAATATGCTTTTGGATACAAGCTAATAAAGCCTTTGAAGCAGTACTCATAAAATCATCAAAATTAATATTAAGTTGATTTAATATTTTGAAGCATTAAAAAAGCTTACCTTACAACAGAAAGATTAGAGAAATTAGATAATTCCTTAATAATTCCCCAAATTAAAAATTTTACTCAAGCAGTAATTCTGCTGATACAGTGAAATTAGTGTAATTCTTTAAAAAAGTGTATTTATCCCTATAGAAAATGTATCACAAGGACCCTGTCCTTCCAAATGCTTAACACCTGGGAAGACTAGCTGTTGATAGAACCAAATAATTGTCTTTTTTTTTTTTTTTTGGTATGCAATTTCCCTTTTATTTCTGATAATTACACAGTTCATAATAAATTCTTAACTAATTTTAGGTAGTTTGATCATTACAGACTACATAGAGCAAAATATTAAATAATCCAAAACAAAAATCATTCTAATCAAAAGGCCTTCCCAAATAACACTTTCCAGCTTCAACTTTTGCTTGTTGCTTTTTGTGTCATGGACAATATTTGCATACTGATGCTCAGATAATGTTTTGAAACTGAGTTGGCAGCAAGAACTAGAGTCTAGTGCCCAGAGGAAACAAGTGAAAACAAAGCCATCTGGATTACGAGTACTTAAAAGTACCTCACAACTTTTGTATTGCAGCGCACCTAAATTAACACATTTTCTTTTCAGACGTTAATCTACCTCTTACCTCTTCAAGATGAATTTCTCTTTCATAAACCAGCTTGCGAACCATACCAGCAACTGAAACCATCCATGTTAACATCATCATGAGAGGGAAAAAAAACCCTATGTTGTTCAAGAATCTATGAAAGAGCAAATATGAAGAGTTGTCAGTCCACAAAGGTAAACTGTTTTCTGCAGAATATTCATAGGTTAATATTGGAACTGTTCTCAAAATAAGATCTGACATGAACAATGAGATTTATTCCTGATCTGATTAGAATTACTTATTTTTTATGTAACAAGCTAAATGTATGTACTAGTACAATATTATTATACTAATTTTATATATTATAGTATTTTAAACCATACAGCTGATATAATTACTCTTTAGGGCTCCATTCAACGTCAAACAAAATTCAGATTTTTATTGATGGCAAAGTAATATATTTGGACAACAAAGAATAATATGCCCCAGTGAATTTTCACTCCACTTTAACAAATTTATTACCACTGACTAATTTTAAAATCTGACTAATAGTTGGGATGTTTTGATGTTTTACAAAGAACAACCCTACACTTTTGCTTCATCAACTTTACCCTTCAAGGGACCAATTTACAGTTTGTGTACAGGACAACTAAGGATTTTAAAAGGGATCTCTTACAATAATTTAAGTTAATTGAACACTATGTTGACATAGCCTCTGTCCAGCAGACAACTCCAAATTATGGCTGCAAACATTTTGTAGGGGGTTGTTTGCCAGACCAACATTGTATAACATGTTATGTTAAACACAGCTGTTGGGCAATATTTGCTCTGCTGTAATACATCTTGTATTGGATGTACTTGTTTAAGCCTGTGTAGAGATATACATTCACTCACTGATAAGTGGGAACGTAATAGGATGCCAAGTTCTTTAGTACTAATTTAACAAGGAAAATACATCAAATTAAAAAGCTGAAATTTTACTTACAGATCACTGGTATGACAAGGGTAAGGCATGGCTTGCACTTGAATTGCTGTTTCTGAGGTGTCTGTCCCAGTCTGTGCTGAAATAATTGCCCTTTCAATCATATCTTGAAGAGGAATAAAGACATGGTTGTATTTAAACCCATCAGCTGGCAGCTTGTGGGGATGGGATTTCCATGTTGGATTTTTAATCAAATCTGTTCTCATGCTGTAGAGAACACTGGTTCTAATTGTATATGAAATGCGTCTTGGAAGGAGATTGCTGGAATCTTGCTTCTTGTCCTCTGGTGTACTGAAGATGATACCTGGCATAAGAAAGGAAGCTTCATAACTAAGCTTATATAATTTATGCTATTTCCATAGCTAACTCATTGCTAATTACCACATGATATAGGATGCATTAATCTGTCAAGGCAGGCCTCCAAACTTTCTTGATCCCAAGCCCAAAAATGGCAAGTTTCAGAGACACATTTTTCACGTTCATGAATATGAAATGTAAAAGATGATTCACATGATAAATGGGTTCGTAAAAATCATATTTATCTGAGGTGATTTGTCTTTTCTTGAGCTGTAGTTTTCTCTTTGCATCCACATTTAGTTCTTTTTGGGGGACTGATATCAGTTCCACAGTAAAAGCAGCAGCCATAAAATTTGTGCATCAAAGCATCAACATAAGTAGATGACAAAGTAAACAGCACCAAGCCACTAAAATATATTCTGATATTAATCTTTAAGTCAGTTCCAGAAGGTCTAGTTTAGAACAGCAGAATTTGCATTTGTTTTCTCTAGCTCTCTATAAAGGAAAAGAAACCCCAACCAAACAGATGAAAGCTTAACATGTAGCTGTAAAGATGAAGCCAAATACATGAAACTGCTTGTGTTCTCTTTTTGTGTGATCCAGACCTTTTAGGACTTCCAGACAAATTCTAAATGTTGCCCTTTTCTTCCCTGGGAAAAGGGAGAGATATCTTACCTACCAGCTGGTTCTCTGAAAGATAATAAAATACAGAATACTTTACTGCAAACCCGATTTCTTTCAACTGGTCAATCTCATTTTTCCATTTACACAAAGAGTTGATTTTCTAAGAAATTCCATGAAGCTATGAAGACTCTGAAGACCACAAAAAAAGAAAGGAAAATTCTATTCCAGTTTAACATCTTTCTATGGAAAGGAATGTATGCCTACATCAGAGCATGTAACATTGACATGTTGGACACATTATGTTCCTTAGAACACCATCTTCTTGTTCTCTAATAATGTGAGGAGATAATAAGGCCAGAGTACTGAAAAATACTCATACAAAATGTCTTTACTTATATTAGCATATGACCCTTCCCTAGGTAAGTGGAACAAAAACACAGCTATTACTTGGTAATTCAGTTTTCTGAGGGCCAAGACTTATCTGTCCATTTCTTTCCTTAAAGAGACAAACAGTTTGCCTTCTCTGAAGTACTCCTGAGCAATTCTCCTTGTCTCAAGGTATAGCCTGTTTGCTTCATATTGATAAAGGGTGGCAATTGCCAGGGTACTGGAGATCACAAAACAAGCATAAGATTCCAGACTGAACAGTTTCCTTCTTTACAAGTGCTTTCTCATGTCTTCTGTTATATGCTTACAGTCATTAGGGGGATTAAAAAAAGACAGAGGGAAAATGTTGTGGAATACTTTATATAGGCTTAAGGGGGCCTCTCTTTTGGAAGCACTACATGCAATCTACAGCACTTTCCGCAAGACAAGCACATTTGTTAATGGAAAATATTCTTGCCTTTTAAAATCTTTTATAAAATTAATTGAGTCTCAGCAATAAGCATATAATGCAGGAAAAAGAGAAAAAGTGTAATCCCAAGGAAGAAAATAAATTCCTTAAGAACTTATTCACTCTGAATAAATAAACTAATTTCTCTGAGGGGTTGGTTTAAAAGTAAATCTTAACAAATGCCCTTCCTTTCCTCCTTTTTGTAAAGTCCAGAATATAAAAAATAAATTTTGAAAGGATGTAAACAAGACGACCTTGCCATCTTGTTAAGTTTCCTCAGTATTCCACATTTTTTTATCTTTTTCTTCTTTATATATTTATGACAACTCCTTTGAACATTTTGATAGAAATAAGAGACTCCAAGGATTCATTCATTCAGCCATTCCACAGTTAGAACAGTATAATTAGTCTTTCCAGCTTACGTTACAGCATTTAAATGTGCTTTATGTTGACTGTATTATATGTGATTTAATGCACGCTTCGAAACTGTGTAACCTTTACCTACCTTATCAATAAACACAGACAACAAATAGAAAGTCTGAAATTTTCTGTAAAAATACATTTTACATAAGGGACTTACTAGCCAAAAGATTGTTTTCCTGCATGAGTTCATGAGCCTTCTCCTCCAATTTCTCTATAGAGTCAAAAGGCTGGAAACGGTCCAGTAACACACAGGAAGATATATTTACAACCAGCTGTGTCAACAGGTCAATCTGTTTACTTGCTGAGCTGTTAAGCATCTTGTTCGTCATAGTTTCTAAGATGAGGAAACAAATAGGACTTGCTTAGTTTTAATGATCAGAACAGAAAGGTATGTTGTCACTTGCGCATCATATGAGACTAAATCCTCATTGCATTAAAAAAAAAAAAAAGTAGTTTAAAAGACACAGAAATTTTAGTGTGAACTTGTGGAAATGCAGTTCATGTTTCAGTGTCTTTTACAAGCCCTCAGCTGCTCTTTCCTTCAATTTCAGAGGAATAAAAATGTAACAAATTCTAGCAGAATTACAGAAAGAGCCCACACCCTTGAACCTTTTCTGATGTTTCTATAAACAGAAAGGTATGTTGTCACTTGCGCATCCTATGAGACTAAATCCTCATTGCATAAAAAAAAAAAAAAAAAAAAAAAAAAAGTAGTTTAAAAGACACAGAAATTTTAGTGTGAACTTGTGGAAATGCAGTTCATGTTTCAGCGTCTTTTGCAAGCCCTCAGCTGCTCTTTCCTTCAATTTCAGAGGAATAAAAATGTAACAAATTCTAGCAGAATTACAGAAAGAGCCCACACCCTTGAACCTTTTCTGATGTTTCTGTAAGTACTCCCACAAATACAAGGGAATTACTGTATTTCAGATATCATAAAAGATATTAATCTCTCATTTAGCAACATATTAACCAGTTCTTTTCTCCTTGATACTGTGAATATTTCAAGAACCGTGTTAAATAGAGCATAAGCATTTTGACAGGAGTCCTACATTTAAAAGAATCTGAAAAAGTCTAATAATCTCTTCATTTCTACTTTATCTATGGATCCAGGAGGAACACATACTTCAATCAAAACCTGGTTTCTTAAAAAACTCAACCTTTGGAGGAATTCAGATCTTCATCCATTGGTAGAGAATGTAGGGAAAATGCTATATGCTTATGTTTGAGAGAATAATCAGAAGGACAGCATGAGCTAGAAACATGCTATCTAGATTTAATAAAAACACCTGAATTTCTCAGGTACTAAACAATGCTATAAAACATTCCACACAATTTCCCATCTGAAATTTTTCAACACTCACTTGAAGATACAATCTTTAAAAAAGGAGAGGAGGTGACCTCCTGTGATAAGAGTGGTGACTGACAAATCCTGGATCGTAGACATTACTCAGCATCAGCACAGGAAACATTACAATAGGAAGGCAGATAAGTGGGAAATGTATGAAGCAGTCTGAAGAAGAAGCATGATTAACAGTGAGAAGGGTAAAGTGCACAAGGAGAAAAAGCAGAGGAACTGACAGTCTAGAATTCAAAAGATAGGCAAACAATGACAGGGTGAATTCATAGGTTGAGAGAAACTATAACAGAAGAAGATAATAAAGATAATAAATGTATTATTTATGGCTATCCTTGAAGAGGACAATAAAGGAAACACCCATGCTGCCCCTTTTTTTCACAACATTAGAGAGAAGAGAATATTCCTAACATTAAGCCTGGATGTATATATTCGTATACGTTTTTGTATATGTGTATGTAATTATACATAGCCCTATATGCATTATTCTGTACGAAGACAGGCTGAGAGGGTTTGTTACTCAACGTGGAGGAAAGAAAGTTCCAGACAGACTTTATAGCACCTTCCAGATTTTATTGTGGCCTGAAGGGGGCCTACAAAAAGGCTGGGAACAGACTTTTTGCAAGGGCATCTACCGGTGGGACAAGAGGAAATGGCTTTAAACTGTAAGAGAGTAGGTTTAGATTGGAACAGGTTGCCCAGAGAAGCTGTGAATGCCCCAAGCCTTGGAAGTGTTCAAGGCAAGGCTGGATGGGGCTCTGAGCAACCTGGTCTAGCATAAGGTGACCCCGTGGCAGAAGGATTAGAATTGTATCATCCTTAAGGTCCCCTCTTATTGAAAGCATTCCGTCATTGACTGATAGATAGACCTTAATTTGAAATCAATACTTAGCTAAGAAAAGCTTCTCTCATGAGTTAAATTGTTGAATATTTTAGCATAAGAAGTAACATTTATATTGCTGTTGGCTTGGAGTGTGGTATACCTAAATATTTCTGGAAAAAAATATTGTCTTAATGTGCATGAACTTCTATACTCCATCATAGAAACAACATATATATATAAAATGCAATCTACATGAACGTTTTAAAATCAAGACCTATAGAGTTGATTACCTTGCTTTTTCCTATTTATAAATGTAGCAATTATGAATAAAAAGTTTGGTAAATCAATGTTCACTATTATCTTCATATTTCATTAAAAATAATGTCAGCCCTCATCTTCCACTCAACTTGTTTAACCTATCATTAAGTAACTGGGAGGAAATACAAATGGTTTATGTAAAACCATTGGTAGAAGTGGTGTTTAAGTAAAAATAAAAAGTTGCTGGAAGAATAAATTAGAATAAATCAGGAATAAATAAATTTAGGTCAGAAATTAGAAGAAAGTTTCTAGGTATCGGAAGATTTGGGTTGGTGGCACAGTTTTCAGTGATGGCACTACAGCTATTTGTTTCCTGCCTTATAAATACACACAACACTATATCATTACAATGAGGGCAGCAGAAGGGTTGCACAAAGGAAAGCTGCTTGTTTTGGTATTTTTTTTTATTGTCCTGGCTGTTATACACATGGTCACATATAGCCCTCTGTAAGGAGAGCCCTTGATAGTGAAAAAAGAAAATTCATATCTGGAAGAAATCACAGAAGAAGGACAAAAGAGAGACCCAGCAAGCAAGAATTTAAAAGAGGAGCTTGCAGCACAAATGCCACCCAGTGCCTCCTGAAGGTTTGTAAGGATTGTGCCCAGCAAGGAGCTCACAAGTTCTAGTGGGTCAGGGTTTACACAAGATCAGTAGGAAATTATTCCAAGTTGCTGGGCTGCAAAGCAAGCATAGAGGAAAACAATTGCTTTGCCTACACACACAGCAACTTAGAAAGTAAAGGGATTAAAAACAAAACCACAAGCTTTTTAGCCCTCAGCCTAAATATTTACCTTGCCACACCTGAGTAAATATGACACAGTAATCCTGCTAAACAGTTTTAGAAATTGATAACTTTGTCAGGTATTGAGACATGATGATTTTATAGAGACATTGGAAGAGTTCTACATCTATTCACTTTGTCTATGACACTTTACAGCAGGAGTAGCACAGAAGAAACCATCACTAAGTCTGTTAACATTTTTTATATTATTGTAGAGAAATAAAGAAAAATACAAAGACAAGCACCTTGTATTTGAGGATAATTAAAAGTAATCTGTATGAGAGTGCAGATGTGATAAAAGAAGATATTTGCTTTGGTTAGAAGACAATCACAGAGATCAGGAGATTTTAGAAAGCTGGAGCTTTGGATGAAAATGAAAAAGATTGTGAGTAGTAAAACCATTAACATGGATATATTCAAGGCTTTAATTGGATACAAGCAAGGTAATTATAGGACTGAACAGCTGATGCAATATAAGATGAAATATAAAATGAAATTTTAAAAAAACAAACATAAGAACAGGTTTATAGTTAAGTTACACATGATTATGGTCCAATAAAATAAACAAAAAGTACACAAGCTAAGACAAAAATAAGAGTGCATATCATTTTTCAAGAAGTAAAACAACCAACTGAATCTATACAAAGAAGCATAATAAATGCAGAGGAGTGCTCTGGTGCTTTGGAGAGATCAGTTTCACAGAGGCATAAATGCTCTTGTGATCTATAGACCCTTTTGATTTCCAGTTTTTATATGATGCGAATTTTACCAACTGTATTCCCTTAAAATAAAGAAATCCTAGTTTCACAAGCCACTCAAGCCATATTTTGTCTTGACCATCCAAACTATTAATCGTTTATTACATATTATTAAATGTCCTAGGTTCTGTTAAAAAGCTATAGCTTGAGAAACACAGGTACAGATTTCTTTGATGTTGTCTGCATCAGTGAAGATGGATCTGATAATTCCAGATGTCATGATATCTATTTAATGGAATATTGTTTGTCCATAACCCATCATGTTGCTCTCAGTGTTAGGTCCACACAAACGAAATCCAGCTATTACTCAACTAATAGATTGAGATAGCTCTGTTCCCAGCACACCCTGAAGCTTAAGAGACTTGCTCTTTTCTCCATCCTATCTTTCCAGCATTGTGATTTTGTGGGCTTGGTTTTTAGCTGTATTATGATCCATCTTCACCTTGAGGGGTGAGCTGAGCCCATCTCAAACTAGTCAACAGTTTCCTGGTCAAGAAAATCATCTGCAGAGAAAGCAGTTTCAAATCTGAGTCCCTTGCTTAGGGATGACACCAAGTCCAGATTCGTTCCAGTTTGAATTCCAGATGCCATTTGCCATTTTCCTTACTGAAAGCATGCACAGGAAGTCCTAGTCTTCAAAGAAAGCCTTCAAACTAAGGCCGATTTCAACTCAATCTCACAACCCGTCTGCTAAAGAAAAGCCACACCAGCTCACACCAACTGTGACTGCACCAGCTCAGGGCAGTAGTACAAGACTGAGAGCACACTTCATTTACAAGCTCTCAGGAGCCGCTGTGGATTTTGTCCATCTCCTGCCTAGAGCCAGATTCTGAGAACCAATAAAATTGTATTTCAGGTACATTTATTTATTTTAGCTGTAATCTTAATTCTTTGTCTGCAAAGCAGACTTAATGACTTACATTTATGTAAAGTCAATTTTTTAAAATCAATGAGGGTCACAAAGTTCCTCTGTGGGGGCACCTGAGAGCCCATCACTGCCCTCCTGCAGAAAGCAACTTGAACAGACTTCTGTTTGGCTCATAATTAGCCTAACAAGCACTGACCTGAAACCATACAGATCTGTCCTTTCTACCACAATCCTCCTCTGGGAACTACTCTGCACCCTTTGTCCATGATGTGACACTATCTGTTATTGAATTTTATCCCATTTTTGTCTCCTCAAAATCATGAGCTTTTCTTACATGACATTGGAATCTGCTTCAGTACAGAGTTTTCCTTCTGGCACATGCTGGCGAGCATTTTAATGATCGTACACCTACCTTACTAAAAGCTGAACACACTGAATTTTTTTTTCAGTTATCAAATTCTTGTAAAATCATTAAGGAACATAAATTTACAGCATAATCCTTTTTATTCTCCTACTTAAATTCTTGAATATCCCAAATTAGTCAAAATAATAATTCCCTTGCTCCTCCATTAAGAACCATCCCCCCTGGGCTATCTCTCTAACCCTGGAGGCTCTCTGTTTGACTGCCAGGGGTCACTACCAATGCAGAGAGGGACTTGCCCAGGGGGAGGCTGCCAGGCAGACCAATGAATCAGGGTCACTCCTTTCCCACCAGAGCTGCTGGCACTGGGCCTGGTCCTGCTCCAGGCTGCAGCTCCCACTGTTTCACACCTGGTTGCGGACCTGGGCCCACAGTGCTTCCCATGGGGTGCTGTTCTGCCCTCAGCATCATCCCCATGGCCCCACTGGGCTATCCCAGGGCTGGGACTGACCTAAGTTTCTTCCTATTGACAGTGTAGCTCCCTGGTTGTAACCCTGTCTCAGGCTTTTCTGAGGCTCAAGGACACCCCACAGAACTGATTCTGAATAAATGGAAAACATAAATACAGAGAGGTTTTGATCAAACACTGCATCCAATCTCATTTTCTATTTATTTCCTTCAAAATTTACTACAAAACTATACTTCTGCCGAATGGAAATGTGGCTACAAGGTTTATATCTCACTTCACTCCTTTTAAGTATGGATGATATGTTTGAGACTCTCCCATGACACTTTTTCACTTCTGACTTGTTACCAATATTGTTTCAGTATTTGAAATTCAAATTATCCAGTCACTCAAAAGAAAACAGACAATTACATTTGAGACTAACTCAAGAGGGTAAAGTCTCTTATTACTTTACTTAAGTATCACTGAGGTAAGTAAAATACTAAATTTCAACTAAATGTAGTTCTCAGTTGAAGTCTAACATGACTAACCATTACATGTACTTTCATATACGCACCGTATGCTTGCATTTTTTTAAGAAGTTTTTCCATGTTGATATCCAAATTACTTTCTATGAAATGTTGTACAAAATTATTTTGTAGTGCTTCCTGAAATGAAAAGTGATAGATGTTACATCAGGTTTATCTTCTCTACGAAAATACAAAATATACATATGTATTGATGTTCAATTCCATTACCAAGATTTCCTGCATGACTGCAGAAGTCATTTAGCTTCTCCATGTCTTTCCCTCTTAACAGGTTAACACCACACATTGCAAATAAATGGCAGGGGTGCAGGGAAGAGATTTAGGAAAGGTGACAGAAGAAGGCACAAATATGTATAATGGACAAACTCCAGTAAGAAGAATGCTTTTCTTTTATAGTCCATATTTCACTCATCAGTTTTTTTTCATCAGTTTCACATCTTTCTGGCAAACACAAGCAATGGACAAACAAGTACCAACACCATTTTATTTTCCCTGCTGTTCAGTGATACTGGAACGATACTGGAGATAGTGAGGCAACATTTCTTTTAGGTATTTTCATGTCAGAAGTTTCTCAGCATCAGTCTTTAGGTTCATAACATTAAGCTAATCTGCCTCTTTTTCAGCTTGTTTTAAATCTGAAGTCAGATATATGGGTGGTTTTGCATGTATAGAAGAAATACTGTCTAGATCAAACAGCAAAAAGTTGGAAAATTGAAAGATCTCACAGTTCACCAACCTGCAGTCGTGAGACTGTGAGGACATTTCCACTGGTTTTGAAAACCTCAGACATCCTAAGCCATGTCTCAGAATAACTCTTCAAGTTTTCCACAAAACCAAAAGTGAAATTAGCCTGGGAAAAAAATACATGGAAACAATTTAAGTGAAATTTGTGCACAGTAGATTTTAAGAAACAGAAAAAACTGCCATGCTTTTGATCTTGTGCAACTCCTTTGCATTCTGTTTTGATAGTCGACAGTAAGTATATCAGTTTTCTTTTTTTTACCTAAGAAATTAAACATATTTTTTTCTATACCAAGCAAATCAAAGTTTTCCTGTGCTCTGTATATTTCCCATCTAAAGTATCAATAAAGATCTCTTTATTTTACAGTGTCTCTTTCATAGAGAGAATCATGGGTGTGCTTGAGAAAGACAGAAAAATAAATATAGTTGGGACATATTCAAAAGAAAGGCTCTCAGTTGTGGGTCTCTTATTCAAACTAGTTTGACTGAGTACGTAATAAAACTGAAATTTGGAAGCACAGTTTGGACAATAAATATAACTGATCAATCAGCCTCTTTCAAAATACTCTCACAGGGAAAAACTTGAGTAAAGCAAACCATTTTCTCTCCCAGTCAAACACAGGTTACAATTTCTCTCTTAGTAAACAACCAGCAATTTTTTCCCAGCCTGTTTTAAACAGATCATAAGTATACTCAAGACTAGAAAATATTGCAGTATCTTTTGTTTAAATTGGTGTTATCAGTCACAGAAGTGCATTTAAGAACAAGCCAGCATAGTTGTTATGATAAAAATTGTGACATTTTCCAGCAAAGAGTGTCTGCAGTGAGTTGTAAACTCCAATTTAGTACCAAGCATTTTGGAATAATTCCTGTTGAAAGTATACCATTTCTACCATAGTATCTTAAGTGCCTTTTTCAAAATCTCACTTTCAGCACAACATGAGAAGAAAATTTCTGGTGGCTCTTTCTTCCTCTTTGTAACACAGAGCACCCTAAGGAGACCTTGCATGTAATTTTGTTTCCCTGAAAAACATTATGCATTTAACTTCTATGAGAATCGCTAGTCCACTTTAAAGAATGATCATTCATAAGAATTAAAGACAAAGCGATTCTAAATGTTAAACTAAATCCTGCTGTCAAGTAGACTAAATAAGTTCTTCTGACCAGAAGTAACACAGAAACCTCATGGATAGAAACCCCCAGACCAGGCACGATGGTGACAGGATCAAGGAGACCAGGAAGGCTGCAAGGGTGGCAAACAGGTAGTCTGGGAGATTGCTTTCCCCAGAACAGAGCAACTACAGTTCACACCAGAACAAAGGGGGATTCTCGGAGTTTCTGAAGTCGAGATGACCCTGAGGTGTTGTTAGAAAGTCTCCTTTTCGCAGCCCAGCGGTCGAAGGAGGAGTCGGGATTCCTTGGCTCTGGTTTTCAAGGTTGTTTATTTTCTCTTATCTAATACATTCTCTTCCTGACCCACTGAGGTCTATCTGGCAGGTCAGTTCATGGCACACTGACCGCCCTTGGGTGGGGTGGTGTCAACATTTTATACTAAGAACTACGTGTACTTTATTTACAATAATTTTCCAATACCTATCAGCTATGTTAGACAGTCTGTCTCTAAACCAATCTAAAAGTGCCACCATTAGAGAGAAGATGGAGGCTAAGAAGGAGAAGGAAGAAGGACATTGCATGCTCAAATTCCTCCATCTTGCCTCCTGAACCCCCGTTCTAAAAACCCCAAAATTCTACCTTTTCACCCTGTTAGTGACAAACTAGCTATTATTCTACTTAAACTCTCGTGGCTTGTAAATCTTCACACAAAGTTGGTAATTTTCGCCATGGATTAAAATCAAAGGCCTAGGTGTCTTTGACTCCGTGCCAAGGTCTCTGAGTCTTCTGCCAGGGTCTCGAGCCATCAAGGGCAGTCAGAGAAAAGTCCTGGGTTCTGACAGGAGATCAAACTTTCAGACACCACTAGAAACTATTATACCAAGCAGCTTGTAAGATCTGTGCTCAGTAGAGCTTAGTGCTTCCTGACTTGATTCTGAACAGCACAAAGGAATAATAATAATAATTTAAAAAATAAATTTAAAAAAAGGAATTTGTTTAAAAGTAGTTTTGCTTTATCATTCATTCATTCATGACCGTAGGCATTTGGGAAGTTCTTGTGTCAGAAACCTTCCCCACGCAGAACACTTTGGAGAATCTGTCTCTTATCGAAGCACCAGTAAAAAATAAAGTCCTATAACTTAATGAAGTGAATGATAAGTAGTTCCCAGGAAAAGATAATATCAAGCCAAGAATTTCAAACTTACTCAAGGATTAAATAGCTAAACTACGCACTGTAGTGTAACCTCCTGATTAAAATTCCCTTATTATGAGGGAAGTGGAAAATAACAAATACAAAATTATTTATAAAGATGCTACTAATGCAGACTAATAATTCTGAAATCTAAGTTTTTTTATACTAATAATAAATTACAATAAAGAGTAGTAGTAAATAGAGAATGGAAATAACTACAGCTGGGAGATAAAAACATAGAGTGTTAAAATAGAAGGTGCCACAGTCTGAAGTGGAAGAACAAGCAAGCGAGGAAGAAGAAGTGGTTGATGCAGAACTCACCACAGGCACAATAAATACCTGCACAATAAATACAATAAAAAACTTAGTTGTGAAAGCAAAGATCAAAGACATCACACGAGGCCTTTGAACTCCTGGATGCCAGTTGGCACTGAAGTGTTTTACCCTCCGTCATCACCACAGCCTCTTTCTGTGACTCTCACCACCACACTCCACACAATAGAATTGCTGCCTTCTCTGAAACTCAAACCCAGTAACCTCACATTTTATCAAAGAATGGTCAATTACATGCCCTCAAATTTAATAGCCCATGCGGAAAACTTAGAGAATATGTCAGAGCATACAAACATCATCAAAGCTGTAATCTGTTACTTTTTTCTTCTAGTAAATAGATGGCATGTGACTACACAATCTAAAGGAAACTAGAACTTCTCCAATTTCAGTAGGACATGAGGCTTGTAAGGTTGGAGTTTAGTAGCAACATTTGAGACACTGGGGACAGTAGTTTGCTTTTAAACTTTGTGTTCAAGCAAGAGCTGAGAGATTTCTGTAATAGAAAAAAGAAAATTTCCTACTACTTTCATATTTACACATAAACAGATACCCATTCATAACTGCTTGTTACATTTACGGGACTGGGAATACGGGCAAGAGTGTATTTACAGAGATTTCTGAATAAGCTGATGGAACTGTGAATATATAAGTAGAGAATATATAAGTATATCATATACATATATATTAGAATATATAAGTAAATAATATATAAGCCTGAGAATATATAAGTAGACTGAGAGTTTCTACCGCAATCTTTGTATCATTTCAGAGCACTAAATCCCACCACCAAAGAAACAACCAATCAACCAACAAACCCAAAACACTGACCCACAAGTTAGCTTCTTTCTGAACTGTGTTACTGAGTCCAGATTTCACTAAAAGATCTGTGGGGAATATACTTTATGTGAAGATATTCATCTTTCCTACAGATATTTTTTAGAATTGAGGTTTGGTGTATTAATTGGCAAAATAATGTGGAAATGTTTTAAGTATTATATTCTAAATGTCATCGCAACATAGACTATAAGTTCAAAAATATATTAAATATTTGTCATTTTTACAGCTCTTTCTTTATAGAATTTCCATCTAGAAACATGAAGAACAACTTTATTTTTAACTGACTAGAAATTTTGAGTTAATTATACTGTACTCCAGAGCAATAAATAATGTTCCCCAAATTAAGTTATTTTACAGCAAAACATGAGATCACTCAATCCTTTTTTCCAATTCAGAACAGAAACTATAAAGTTATATAATATCTGCTATCTACAGAGGGAGTTTTGGCTTAGATTTTTACTATATTTTTAGAACAGAAATCATAATACCACAAAGTTTTCAATTTACAGAGAATATAGTTACCATCACATTTAAAGTTATTGTGGTCTTTTTGTGTGCCACTTACAAGCAGCAATTACTTTTTTCCAGATTTCCACTCTTGAAATAACTAATATTGCAGGTTAAAAGTAATATATTTAGAAGATCAATGCAAAATTTGCAGAGAAATGTAAAACAAGTCATAAACCCTTCTCTTGCAGAAGTGCCTCTAAGCTAGGCATGCAGAAACATGTCATTGTCAATAATCCCACTCAAGACAGAGCACCAACCATAGCAGAACTGCAGAGATAGCAAAACTTTTGAATACCATCATCAGCATCCACACATACAGCACCTCAGTTATTACTGGTCACTCAACTACTGGTGTTAGAAAGAATCAGTAAGGATGAACTACAGATTACATAATTTTTTTTCTTTTCAATTCAGTTCAGTGACTCTATAAGAACAGGCTTTTTTTCCCTGGGGCCATCCCTTCCCACAGGTCTTTATGCAGCCCCATTACAGTTCCCATGACAAGAAAATGTAAAAGGCAAAAGTTTTCCTAGAATATGTGCACCCTATACCTCAATTCAGCATGATTCACATGACACTTCTGCGAACGTGTTCTTTTTAATCTCTCTATACATGCTTTAAAGGATTTTGAGCAAAATTCTGCTTTTCACACTGAGTTTGAACCACTGTAACAAGTAGGATAAAAGTTAAGAGAAGCATTAAGTTTAAAGTGGGAAACAGGTGAGGGCTCAGGGGGCAGGCTGGATCTATTTTTCTGAAAGGCAATTATCCAGTTGCTTCTGCCTACTCTGAAAGAAGTGGATGTTTAAAACAAATTGCAAAGACAAAATCAATACACAGAAATAGTGACATTTTTTGATACTCACCTTCTCCATCACCAGGTCAATCATGCTGATGTTTGAATTGTACAGTATCTTCCCATGTAATAAAGGTTTCAGGAAAGTCCACAGCAAAGCCCCATTAGGAGCCTGCAAAATCTCTTGATAGAGCTTCAAGCAAAAAGGAGCTGCAAAAACAAAGACAGATTCACATTTAAGATGGACAACACAGGTGAGATTGAAATTTTTTTATTCAAATAAAAGCTTGAGTCTTATTTTAGAGTCTACCACAGCACCATGCCAAAAACTGTTACCAGAGTTTTTATAACAACACCATGCAACTGCCACATTAAGCAATCATTAGAGGTTCCTATAAAAATTGTTTAACAGTGTTGAGGAAACAGAACTCTAAACACTGAATAGGAAAAAAATCAGAATCTACAGAGTTCCTCACATTTCTGAAAAGCAGTCTGTATGAATTCTATCTGTCCTAAGTGTTTCATTAGTGCATTTTATAGCAGAAGGACACATGCAAAACCGTTGCCCACACAAGTGAATTCAGAGGGAAAAGTCACCTTAAAACAGAAAAAAAAAATTCCTTCCACACCCTTCATTGTTTGGCAGCTTTGGATTCCTATATAAGAAAGCAGTAGAAATATACAAAATCCTTCAGAAACACAGAGTTTTCTTTTTGTATAATCTTAAAAGAACCTACCAAAAAAACAGGTAAAAAGTTTTCAGGACACTTAACTTCTTGATTTGAAAAATCTAATCAATTGTCTTTTCTATTCCTTAATAGAAAATACATATTCGTACATCACATGGGGCAACTAATGCATTAATTAGGGTGTATATCCTTCAGAACTAGGACCTAAGGAATAGTTTCCAAGATAACCCATTGCATTTGTACTCATGTAAAGGCAAAGATCTATAAGAAGCATCTAGATTTTTATGCCCAACTCATGGTTTTGGAGGTTTTATTATTTATTACAAGTGCTTTCAAAATATCCTGTTTCTAGTGCTCTGAAAAAATATTAAATTATATCATTAACTCCTCAAGGAAGACAAATCTTTTTACATAATGGAAAATTAGGCCAAAACCATTTAAACTCCTGACAAAAGTTAAAGAAAAAAGTGTCAGAAATGTTTCATCAAGAATGTTTCTTTTAATCAAGAGTTCTTTGCCCAAATTTTTACTTCCTTGAACAAAATAATCATTAGTAAGCATGATCCTTGCTAAACAACAGCAGAGAATTAAGAGGCTAGAAGTTGGCCAGACATAAATGTCAATAGACTAAGGACACAGAAGACTTGCTGATCTGGGTTTGCTGTGATCTTCAGAAAGTGATTAGGAAGTATTTGGTATACACAAAATACATAAAAGTTAATCGCTGTGAAGCAGCATAAATCAAGTTTCTGTGGCGTCAGGTTTTTTTCTTAATTTTCATTTCCATTGTTCCATATACAAATTTTTAAAACATGGACAACAGTATTAATTCACTCATGGAAATGTTGGAACTAACTGATGCCTTAAATATTGCAGAGTCCCATGGTAAAAAGGCCTCACAGCACAGCAGAATTCTGACAGCTTGAAAAAAAATAAAGATCAAGAAACAGTGCTTCTGGCCTAAACAGCTTTTAAAGAGACTAAGTTCCAAACAATCTGTCTAATCATCCATACAGCTGACTTCATTCTTCCAACAGGAAAGAAAAGCAGAGCTGCCTGGTTACCACTACATCCCACACGTCAGTGAAAAGGCCAAAGCAGAGCCCTGGCTCCCTCCCAAGGGTCCCAGCCCAGCCAGGAGCAATTTCTGCCTGTAGAAACCAATAGATGACAGAGGCTTCCCTAGTGACACTCTATCACTGTATTCTTCTCTTGCACAGGGCCACCTGAGGCACTAACAAGGTTATTAACCATATTAAAATTAATCAGGGTAAGTCAAATGTGTACTGAGGAAAGGGAGCAAAGGTGAAATGAGAGCAAAGGGATTTTTCTGAGCACTTGACAAACAGAATAGGAATATAAACCATTAAAATACTCATTCTATCCAGCAGGTTTGTATATTTTACTGCTCAATAATACCACACCTTTGTGTTCACCAAAGAAAGGTAAGCAGCAATAAATTCTCAATCTTGTATCTCAAAGATATGTTTTTAATACCAAGTGCTTTAAAAATGTTAATAAAAATGTCTCAAACACAGGAATATTCTTATTTATTATTTGCAGAGATAGAAAAAACAGAATCTCTTCTGTGCCACCCACGATTATCTCATAGACACTTAACTTCTATTGATCAACACTTGGTGCTCAAGATGACTGTGTCAACTGAGATGTCAGTGGGCATATAAACATTTCCATTTAAGTGGAAAAAACTACTCTTAAGTCTGAGTTCATACTGCAACTTGTCAGATGTTTTTTCTTACTTGAGTCTTCAGGAATGCCATATTTTGCCATATTTTCCTCCAAAAGTCCCATGATTCTGGGCATGTCTATGAACAGGTTTGCATTGCTGAGAAATGAAGATTCTTCTTTACATACTGCTTTGATTACAGATTCCAGGGATCCAACAGCTGAACTTCTAAACTGCCCACCCTGCAAAAACTAGAACAAATGAACAAAAATACAGATGAATCAAAGTTGCTTTAAGTAGCCTCAGAGAGTAGCCCTGGTGTTCTGTCAATATTGATATCAAAGGAGATTGACAAAATTAGACTGTTGAAACAGCTTATTTGGATGAGGGCCTTCTATGTTCATTTCTATTCTTCTGATCACCACTATTATGGGGAAAGGTAATGTAGTTTTAATTGTCAGGATACTCAATGAAAGCATAATGTACCAAACTGAAACTGGAAAAATACTGTGTAGCAGTTAGGCAGGAAAGGACTAAAAATATCAAGACAACTGGATAACAGATGCCCTGATTCCAATGCCAGTTTTCATGAAGCATGCTCTTCTGGTAGATTATTCCTGTGTCACAAAGGCAGCAGAAACTACCAAAGCCATTTTGTTATGAACATTTACAGTGAAAAAAAAAAAAAAAACAGATGCCCTAAAAGCCTATTTTTCAAGTAGATCTTTTAACTTGTTAGATGTGCTTACAGTTTTTGCATATCTTGAGTCATAGCAGCATTTATTATTGCTGTTTGTTCCTGACTAGCATACTTCTAATGAGGAGAGAGAGCAATCTGACTGCTTTTATGGCTTAAGCACCATCATTCACCACATTCAAAAAGGAAAAGGAACAACAATAGTCTCATCCTCTGTGCAGCTCCACTTTTCAAATAATGGGCTTCGATTGTAAGTGATATCTCATGGAAGGCTGTACAGGTGCACAGCTCTAAGAGGACACAACTGCAAGGCATCTTGCTGCTGTGGTACAAATGAAGAGTGCACTGGCTCGCCTGATACTCATTACTGTAACAGATGCTTGTCAAGAAAGGCATAACTAGACTATCAGACATCATTCGAAGACTCCACAACTGGCAAGTAGAAAAACCACTGTAATATGTCAGACACACACATTCGGCACAAGAAAAAATTAGCATTTTATTGCTGGAATTTTTTTAAACAGAAGAGTCAATTTTCAAAGTAATACAGCACTTTACATAAAGACATAATCACAGACAATTTGGAAATTGCGCTGTTAGAAACAGTTTATCCTGATCAATGCATTTATTGAAGTGCCAGGTGCTTCTTTGGTAATTCTAGAAGAATATTAGTAAGTGTTGTTTAAAACTCAGTGTTAGCTGCTCACAAAATCTTACTTTTAAGGTACAGTTTCAGCACAGAGAAAAGTAAATAAGTAATACCCATGTTTCATAATAAAATCATCCACAGCCCTTGAATGAATCTGCTGGCATGGACTTCGGTGGAGAAATAAACTTTATTTATGCACAATGCTGTATAAAATTGGTTATGAATCTTTATTAGTGACTATTTGCACTAGAGGGATAAATGAGGCCTATTTCAGTCAAAGAGCACAAATGTGCTAATTAATTCTAGTTCCAATCAAAATAATTTGAAATTGAAATAATGAATATTTATGCGGTAAGCTGCCACTAACAGGCTGCATCTACTTACTATCTTTCAACTAAATATCCACTGACTCAAAAAGATATGTTTCTTAAAATTTGGCTTTGATAAAGTATGAGGAATATATAGTATGGCTCTCACCAAAAAGAAAAAGAGTTATCTTTGATCTAGTTTAAACTCTATAAAGTAGGGCTGTAATCAAGACTGATGAATCCAAACAACCAGCCTCCTACAAACTAATCAGTTAAGCAAGTCACTGTAGCAAAGTCACGGAAGAGGAAAGCTGGTATGGAAGATTAAAAGGTTGTCTGGAACTGGATTTTCAAATGGAGACAAAAAACTCATAGCATAGGAGCTTCTGACTTAACAGAACAGCTGTATGCCAAAAAAATATTATGAATAAAAAGAAATTCACATAGAATAGTGGATAAAAACAAATTCACATGGTATTTGCCATTTATTCATAAAAAGAGACTTAAAAGTCATACTGGGCCACAGCTTGCACATAAATCTAAAATACATTCTGAATCATTACATTAGAGAGAAAGAGAGAGAAAGAACAATAGAATTTTCCTGGAAAACTACAAGGAGCTTCAAGATAATTCAAAATTTGATGAAACCAAAGGGCCAAAGGAAATAAATTCAGAGAAATAGATAATCCTAATTCTTGGGAAAAAACCAAAAATACAACAAAGTCTTTTTCATCCTGAAATTGACAGAATCAGGAGAATAATAGCAAATTTGCTGATTTGATTAAACAGTTCTCAGAAGCCTATGAAATTTAGATAGCACTATTTGAAAAGTAGAAAAAACATCTATACTCAAGAATAAGAAGTATAGCGATCCAGGAAATAATGGATATCTGGTTCTCATGTTTATTTAAGCAAGATATACAATGAAAATTAAAGGGAGAACATTAAAGATAAAAAATATTTGAGAAGCAAAATTTAATGCATTCTCAAGTTATCATGCCTGACCAACACAACATATTTACGTGGGAGGGCAATTCCTTTCTCCACAAAATGTTACAAGCTGACTCAAGTTTAGGTGAACTCTAGCAACCAACTCATGTTCATGCTCCAGAAACTATTAATCATCAATTAATCTAACTGCGGATTAATAGTGGTGAAAAAATTGGCATTAAGACAATGTTGCAGGGAGCCTGTTAACAGGGAAAAAAGCCACAGGATTACAAAGAAGTTATTACTGTTTTTTTCTGTGAGCCCCAAAAGAAGCAAATTGCCTAAATTTGCCCATCATTTAATACCAGAAGGCATTGCAGGAGAAAAAAAGATGAGAATGCAATATGGCAAAAACCCAAATGTGTAATTCAAAGAAAATTGAATAGAAAGATCACCAGTGCAAAATCTTATTTTTCAACTGAAATCATGAGATGTTGCTATAAAATGGAGGTCACCTCAGTATATCACTCATCCTTAATCATCTAAGAGATCAAACTGTGTGCAGTTTATGAAAAAGTTGAATGCAAGTTTAGGGAAGTCATTTTAGTAGGTATAGACAAGAATAAGTAGGCTACAAAAGTCATCAGTTCTCATTCCCCTCAAACACTGCACATATTTCTTCTTTCAGACGTTCAGGATTAGCCTTAAACCAGCATTCCAAAACCATGCTAGGCTGCCTTAAGCAACTGAGAGCCTGATAGAAAAAGCTAAAGCAAAAAACAAATGCTAAAATTAGTCACTTCAACCTATCAAAGCAGAGAAGGACTGTGACTGGCCTTCCACACATATATGAGCAAGCCAGAGAAGTTAAAAATGTTACATAAATTTTTATATACAAGAATAAACATAGTAGCCACAAATAAACCTAAGTCAGAATTTATTTGTTTAAAACCCCAACAGGTTGTTCTACAATGATAGGTTCAACAGGGAATTTGTTCAAGTTAGTGGAAGGATTACAGAGTGAGACCACCTCCTACAATTAACAGCATTTAGCAACTCAGGAAGTCCCCTGCAGCTTATCTATTGACAAGTGACAAGCATCCAAAAAATTAAGTATGAAAATATAAGTGAATAATTTCAAACAGCAAAACACAAGCAAAAATCATTCTTGAAATCAGCAGTGTTCTTCTTCAGGGAGTTATCCATCTATTTAGTGTTTTTAACAGTAGAATCTGGCACCATATTCCAGTTAATGCTGATAGGTAAATAATGAGCTTTTACATCATCTTTTATTACAATACATGTACCTTTTCAATTCAACTCCACATTTTACAGATATATTAAAGTTATTTCTTCCTTTCCAGTTTTTCTTTCAGACAGTAATCCATTATTAGTATGCATAGTTGACAATTACTTCATTACCTCTTCCATTATAGAAGTTTGGGGTTTTTTTAATTACCTTCAATGTCTTTCTGACAAAGGTCCACATATTTTACCCTAAAAACATTCACATTCTTTATCTGATAATCTTTCAATGTCACTGAATTACTTTGCTCTTGGTAATCATGAAAACAAAAATCTACAAGTACAGGCTCTTTTGGAAATAGAAGAAAACATTTAAGGAGGGGTATGAGCAATATATGCACTTCAATGGAGCATTTATTCAATAGTACAAGTTTGGCAACCATAAAAAGCAAAAAAAAATCAATAATTAAAACTTATTGGAAAGTATAAAAAATCAAGTTAAAAAATAAAAGAAACAATTTTACTAGTCTTCAAAATTTAAAAAAAGTTGCAGACACAGAAGGACAGAAGAGCCCTTGAAATCAAAAATGTTACTTATTAATAAAATAAATGGGCACTGATTATTTTAATCTTCCACAAATTATTAGGTGACTAATAAGCCCCAGCAATTTCACAAGGTAAGGGATTTAGCAAAACATTAGAAAATAAAGATTGTGTGGAAAAAAAGTGATCAAAAAAAGTTAGGAGTAAAAAAGAACAAAAATTACAACGTTAAATCTATGGCATATTATGGGATAATAGGGGTGGTCATGGAGCAAAGCTTAAAACTGTGAGCAGATGGCCCTCTGCTGTTCCATTTGTTCCTTTGCAAGCTTTTTTTTTTTAATAGCACCTTTTGAGAGGTTCTTCTAGCAAATAAGAAACTTTGTGATTTTAGTCCAAAAAGAGTATTTCATTTGCTGGAAGGAAAGTCTGATACAAACTGACCTAGTTTAAGGAAAGCAGAAAAAATGCAAGTGTCTGATGAAAGTCACCATTAATTGCAGCAGCCAAAGAGAGAGGCTCTGACTGATAGATGCACCAGAACAGCATTTTTCAACATGCCTCTATCACACAGATTAGAAGATCTTGAAAAATGTATCACTAAGGAAAATAGTACTTAGGGCAGTGTTTACTCTGTACTCTAGCAATAAACCAGATTGCACCATCTATCACTGTGGGATCTTTCAGCGGTTTGAAATTTTAAACCAGATTTAATCGTCAGATTTCCACAAAGGACAACAAACCCAAAAGGTAATGACGGACTTCCTATGGAATTGGAGCCTGTTTTGAGACATAAATCTTTCTGGTCATTCATTTAGCACTAGATCTACCACTGTGCTAGCTGTGTAGATGTGCATACAGCAACTGCCCTTAAAGGCAGAGACAAAAGAAATACCCCCACTCAACCTCATGCCACTTATTTTAGTGCCAAGCAGAACTATCACACAAACCCCTCAGGTGACACAAACAGAAACATGTAGCAGATAGAAGAACTGCATAGGCTGTCTGGAACTCATATTCCTTAAAATGCAAAGCTATTTCATGTAAAAATAAAATGGTCTGCTCTTAAAAGAAACAAACAAAAAAACACTCTTAGCAGAAAACGCCTGGCTAGCTGTCTCTAAATCACAGATGAGAGATAATGCTAGTCAGCTGACAAACACTGAGGTAACTTAGACTATAATCTCTTGAATTACCAAAAAAACCCAAGATGAAAAAAACAACAGAACACCAGCCTTGGAATTACCAGACTGCTTGAAAGAGATCAAATGAATCTTCCTAGGGTTTATGGACTCTTCTCAGCATTCCCTACTTTCTAGGAAATAATTTCTAGTAGTGTGCCTCCTTACTAAGCACATATCCCTACCTAATCACCTCACAAGGGGAACTAATTTTGCATATTGAAATCCTACACATACCTGCTGCAATGCAGAGATGTCAAGCACACCAAGACTTTGAATTCCTTGGAGGAACACTGGAAGCTTCTCCATGACATGTTGGACTTTATTGAGAAGTGAACTGATACTAGAAACCACATCCAGTAGCATATTTAATACATTGCCTATCTCAGGTGGTATCTGGACCTTGGAATAGAAGGGAAAAAAACACAACAGAAAATTCCAGTTAGAAACAAATGTTAACCTTTGAATGAACACTCAAAATTATTCAATCTTTTTCTAAAACTGATTATACAATGTTCCTACAAACCATGCTTAACAGAACTCCTTTTGATATAACTCTCCAGTTACTCTCAGATGAAGCTGAAGATAGGCTGTCTGTGATGTAATGTTAGATTTGGCTCATGGCAAAACAGAAATTAATATTCAGAGAACAAGTTTACACCTGCCAAGTTGAAGAGAGCTTTCCAACCCAAGATGCTAATGGGATCTGCAACATTCTATCCTTTTAGAATTCAGAGTAAATGGAAACTTTTCCTTCACCACTTTTAAAAGGTTCAATGCAATAATTCCATATTTTAAAAAAAATTTGTAAGTTAAATTAAATCTAGAAACCACTTTTATTGCTTAATATGACCCTTAAAGTAACTAACTTTCCTGCCACACTCTTCCTGTCTTTGAATTTTTCGTGCCCAAAATAATTGTGTGCATTTTATTACCTACTTGACCTAAGTTCAATTGGCTGTTTGCTATTTCCACCATGCAAATTTGTCATTATGGATTTTCTCTCTGTTTCCTTTGCTTTTGGGGATTAGCTAGATGATATGATAATACAAACTGATTCATTGTTACCTCTCTATGCAAAATAATAAAACCACTATAATCTCATTAGATAGTTTCAGTGCTTTCTCTGATTATCTCTTTTATCCACTTTTGTCTTCTGACTATAATGTCTGTGCTTGATTTTCTTCTCAGCTTTACATAGTTTAAAAAAAATGAAAGATACCCATAAAAAAATCTTATTTAGCTAAAAAATTATTATATTTTTTATCCATTATAATCTAGGATGAGCTGACAACATTTTTTACTCTTTGCTAGGATTTGATTAGGTTTCTGTAGAGTTCAGTAGAAACACTCATCAGAATAAGCACTGGTTTATTTTCTTCTATTTTTTCCCCCTTCTAGGTTTGCAGATAATTCAGGAAGTAAAATATTTTCTTTCCCCTCTGGTATCTTTACCTACAGTGGGAAATTATCTTGTTTTTTACTTTCTGTATCTGATCTGCTTAACTGAGCATGCAGCATCCAGAACACAACCTGAAACATCCAGAAGAAAACCAAACCTCTGTGGCTTTAGAACAAACCATTCTTCCTCACAATTTTATAAGGATATTTCAGCTATTCATGCTCACATTCTATGTTCTGTCAATCAATTACCCCCAAAAGAACTGAACGAAATGTCTTCTAACTATCCCATTCAATAATTCTGTGCTTACAGATAAAACCATTACCTCACTGAATACCCATACTAGATTCCAGATTATCTACAGTTATACAGATAATAGTTGTGCTATAGACATTTGCATCCACAGTGCTATGAACTCTTCTTAGAAAATAGTTTTGTCATTCTTGTGATGTGAGCACCTGTGCTGGTTTTAGTTCAAATATTGCCAGATCAGTCTTCCACTCTTACAAATAATGAAGTGACTAATTGCATGAACTGCAAACTCTGCTAAAGATTATTAAAAATATGTCTTTGACCTCCTGTGTTTTCTGCAAAGCTTTTGTAATTAGCTCCTTAGTGATAATTTTCCTGAGGAAGCATCTATCAGCCCTATTTTTCAACTGTTTTATTTTGGGGAGCCAAACAAAGACAAAAAATGCCATATGTCCTCTATTTGCTTTCATGGAGAAAGAACATCTGAAGAAAAAAACATAATTATTAATGTATCTACCTGTATGTTTCATACTACCTTCCAATAAATTATCTTACCTTGTAAATGATGTGACGTACATTCAAATTTTGTATAATTGATACAAACATGGTATACAAGTCCAGTGCTGGTAAAGAGCATAATTCTGCCACTACCAGGGATGTTCTATTGTCTTCAGGGAGCTTTAGCAGCAGGCTAAGTACTTCTTCATCACATCTTCCAGTTAAAGCTACCACAAAGGCACTGTAAAGAACCTATCACAATATATGTGTATTAACATTTTTTCTCCCTGAAATGCATCACCATTTTTTATAGTCAATAAGGTAAAAAATTGTGTCACAGTAACATGATAATTTGTAGGCACCAACAGGCCTGAAATAATAAACCATACAGCTTTATATCAGATTGCTGTGTTCTTACTTTATACTCCTTGTACACATAAAAAGATGAAGTATATTTCTTATAAGGATTTGCTTTCATTTTTCACAGGTCAATCATTCATTCTTGAGCATTCATACCATAAGCAGGCATATTTACAATGCTGAGCATGCTCCATCTAGCAGATATACACCTCTGCTGCAGAAACACATGAAGATCACAATCTAGGTGCGTGAATCACTAACATCAAACAATGTGGTCCTTTCCTTCTTTCAAAGGACACACAAATTTACCACTTGGGGATGCCTATATGGCATAATGTCTGCTCTCAGCCAGCTCACATTTCTCAGTTAAGCACTGTTTTAAAGTCTTATTTAATAGCAGGTGAAGGGACTGCAGACCCTGGGTGAGGCTATAATGAAACATTCTTGGATAATGGCAAGTGCTTGAAGTCCAGATATCTCAGGAGCTCTTAGCTACCCATTCTCACCAAGTCCAGAAAAATTAAAAGTTTTTTAGGAGCCTGTAGGAGGCTCCATTGTACTGCTCAGGACAAAATCTGCCTCTACTGCCTCCGCTGAATGCATCTCTTGCTGCTAACAGTACCCAATCAGGTAGAGGACTGCCAAGACAGTCAGGATATGCAACTTAACCCTTTAGTTCCTACAAACATTTTATTTTCCAACTTAATGATTTGATTTTTTTTTTATTCTGGAACGGAATTTTGCCTTTGTGATGCTACAAGGTTTTCTATGTATTTAAAGATTCACTTTTTTGTGTGTGCGTTCAAGGAACAGAATATCAACATAATTCTGCGAGCCGCCTAAGATGATACTGATTTGGATTTCTTGCTGGGAGGAAATTTGACTGTGATGCAATTTGATATTTATTTCAAATGTGCCTCACAGGTATATCATCAGTTTGTTGCAGTTTTAACACATTCTATGTTTTAAGTTCTTCTGAACTTTCCTTGCAGCTTTCTGAGAACCAGAGCTAATCCAATCTCCTACACTCAGTAAATGAACACTTATAGTCTTCAGGTTACAGGTTTTAAGTGATTTCAAATCACTTTATCCCATGGTAATGAGCATGGCCAGCACATAACATCATGACAGATATTATGGGTAAGTGCAATAAGAACAAAAATTCCCAGGGTTACTCTTACTGTTCCAGAGGAAAGCACAGTAGTAGTATCTAATCACAGAAATATAGGGCTACAATGGGCCTATAGCTATCATTAGGTTATCAGACAGTGGCTTTATAGACAATAAACATAATGGGCATGCTTACAATATAGCTCTAGAAAGTACTTGTGCAGCTTTCATAATCAGTAAGAGACACAGGCCTTTAATGCTCCAGTTGGACTGGGGGAGGATTTAAGCACTAAGCAAACAAAAAATTCTGTATCATTATCCAAATGTGAGATGTGTTTATATATCTAAGCTCTACATAAGACTGGCAAAAAGTAATGATGGAAAGTAATTTGACAATTCAGCCAATTAGCATTATTATTCCAAAGGATCAAAGGTGCACTGAATCCCATTTAACTGAATTGCTTTCAGATGATTTCTCTTATTACCATCTAGTGATATCACAATAACAAGCTAACAATAAAGGCAGTCACAGTGCCACAGAAGCAGAAGAACAAATCATCTGTAAGTAGTTATGATGGTCTGAACTGCCTTTTTAATGCTGCACTTTTCAGGAACAGAGCTTGCGGCAGTTTCTGCAAGCGGAGCATCACTGACACCCAGTGGCTGCTTGACCGAGCTGATCAATTTGCACCAAATGCACCTCCAGCTCTTCAACAGGCACTCACAGCAGAGGGAACATGTTAGACAGCTGGCATTTCTCATGATTTCGACTGATCTCTGGGATCACAGGAAAAAGCAGAGGTAACACACAGCCTTTCCCTCAGAAAACTTTCTCAAAAGTCAACACCTCAAAGGGAAAGTAAAGCAGGACAGTGGTAAGATAATGTAAGAATGGTGAGGAACACATAAGGCAATTTAAAAAATAGATATATATAAGACAACTCCATACAAGGAGCGGAGGTGGTAAGGTACAAAATGGTAATTCCAGAAACCCTCATCTTTTTTACAATACCAAGACAGCAAAGTTCCAATTGTGCATCAGCACAAGAGGGTAAAACAATGTTGATAGTGATAAAGCAGTGTCATTTAGACCAGAGGAATAGTGCTACTATAAATTGATATCGTAATGCATCACATTATTACTTTAAAGTCCTAAAACTCCCAAAGTACTTCACGTGGAAGTGATAAGTGAAAAGTTAAGATTCCACAGAAACAATGTGGCTTGCTTTGCTTCAGCTGGCACACCATGCCATAGATTTACCCACTAATTTGATACCTCTTTTTCATCTTTTACCTCTGAATGAGAGACACTGGCTTCCAAAAGAGTATTGACAGTTTCTTCAGAAATATTGACAGAAGAACCAATGTCCAGACTCAACTGAGTAATATTCTTCACAAAATCTTTGACTTTCGCATCTGGAAGAGAAAGAAAATAGTACCAACAGCACCATATTTATTAATTAGATTTCCTACATTAATAAGGTTTCCTACATTCAATTCACTGTGAGTGACAAAATTGCCATATGTCAGTAGTAGTAGTGTGGTAATAAACAGTGTCCCTTTGAAGTTGAAAGAACAAAGAAACAGTTATTGTCCTACAAAGTTACACTAGAGTGACTTATAGAAAAAGCGAAGAAAACTGGAACCCACCATTCACAAGATTAAAATTGCTGAGGAAAGCTGCCGCTGGATTTTCAGACAATTGTAGCTCCAAATGTTCTGTTACCCTGGAAAGATAGCCTTAGTTTCACAAGTTATCAGAGCCAAATCATTGGCATTTTGATGTATAAGGACAAACAGAAAGAGTGAAACAGGACTAAGAGAGGCAATAGGGTCCCACTGTGCTCTGTGTGCACACACTGTGCATGCAGTCAGCACCTCCACAGACCTTCTCATGCAGTATTTACATGGTGCAGAGGTCATCATATGAGACTGCATACATAGAGATACACATGATACACATACATATGTAGAGATAGATTCCCACAATGACTAAGGGCCCTAGCAAACTGTAGCTTATAGAGAAGGACAGGTCTAGCAACATCTTGCTTCCATGTTTCTCACTGAACACACATTTTTAAAACCTAGAGATCCAAATCACAGTTCAGGATGAAAAAAATGTCTAATTATAATTTAAGTAGTAAAGAGTATGCACACATTAGATATTATTTTCTCTTTAAAACTGGACATGAGCCTGTGCTATTTAGGAGCAGCATTTAGTCTCAAATTGTTCTGTATTATTACTGTAATTCATAGACACCTCTCAAGCCTGTTGTGAAAACAATCCAACAGTCAAACCAGTAAAGCAACAGTTATAACAATGTCTACTTCTAGCTGATTGCAAATATGAAACACTCTGTAGTACCAACTTTACTTAAAATCTAATGGTTTTCCCCATGCAAATTACTATCAGAAGTTGTTTGGACTTAAATCCCATCAGATTACAATCACTGTATTGTGTTTCTAAGTCTTTGAACTGCTGAACTGATCTGAGTGATTAATATTTCACAAAAATATATGCAGCAATTGAGAGGAAAAGCCATATCAAAAGAGTTATAAACAAAAAAAATTGGACTCAAAATTTTGACCTAACTTGAGTCACAGGAAATTGAAAATTTTCTTAGTTATCATCCAAAGCATTCAGTTCGTGGAGCAGCAGAATCTGCTGCAAGTGCTCGGCAACAAATGGAAGAGTTTTTAGAAATATTCAGTTATTCTAAATTACTTAGATAATTTGTATATTTTATCCACTCAGTTTTAAGCTAAATGAACAAAGCTTAAAAAGACAATATGTCTCCTGTAATCACTCAGTTTAGAACACAGACATATGCACAGAATAACATCACTAATGGTGAGAAACCATTTGGGGTACCAAAATGAGAAAGGCTTTACATTTGCAGTCGTCTCTGGATGTTCCCCAACATTAGGTGGCATTCACAGCTGTCACTGCTGGTATTCTGCAAGACTCCCACGAAGCTCTCCAAAGCATTGGAAAGTTTTTGGTTAATATATGCCATACTCTCACAATCTCCCTTGTTGAAAGCTGTCAAGTATCTTCCAACATCCTGCAGAACACAGTGATCATATGGTTAATGAATTCATGAAATTGTGTTATAGCTAGAACTAGCAGCTCTCAGCAACCAGATGATTTATAGCTTCAAATGAGAATTTGGGTAAGATAATATTCTTTTAGTCATTATATGATTAATTAAAACTAGAATAAATATTTTCAAGAAGCAAGGAATTTTCAAATATTTGAGTTTTGGAAACAATTGGTTTGGGAATTTGAACAAGCCTGTCAAGGAGAGTCATCCACCAATAGAAATGCCAATCTTTTAAAATTTATTTCAAAATTAAATGAGCTGTTCTTTTTTCTTTTTTTTTCCTTTTAGTCTGACCATTTTTATCTTTTTCCAAAAAAACTCGTTTTGAACACAGATGATTTATAGCTTCAAATGAGAATTTGGGTAAGATAATATTCTCTTAGTCGTTGTATGATTAACTGAAACTAGAATAAATGTTTTCAAGAAGCAAGGAATTTTCAAATATTTGAGTTTTGGAAACAATTGGTTTGGGAATTTGAACAAGCCTGTCAAGGAGAGTCATCCACCAATAGAAATGCCAATCTTTTAAAATTTATTTCAAAATGAAATGAGCTGTTCTTTTTTCTTTTTTTCCTTTTAGTCTGAACATTTTTATCTTTTTCCAAAAAAAACTTGTTTTGAACATCAGTTTTGATTCAACAAACCAAAATATCTGGATCCTCATTTCCAAAGTTCTTCATGCATTACCTCTGTATAGTATGGACTTTTATATTTTCTCCTGACTATTAGCAGTTTTGACTTTGAGAAGCTTTTTTAATATTTGCACAAACCAAAATATCTGGATCCTCATTTCCAAAGTTCTTCATGCATTACTCTCTGTATAGTATGCACTTTTATATTTTCTCCTGAATATTTACAGTTTTGATTTTGAGAAGCTTTTTTAATATTTGCTGAAGTAGGTCATAGAACAGTGGTGACTACACAAACACATTTGGCCTGCAAAAGTCTGCTTTGAGATATAAGTAATGCAACTTGTCATCTATTTACTTGAACACATGGCTGTTCATATCCGAAAAATGTCCAGCTAGACAAAGCAGTAGAACCATTTAATAAAGAGAAGACAGATTCTGTACTAAAAAGCATGACTTTAGTATTTTGTCTGCATACAGCACACTCGTCTGTGTACACATATGTGTGCTATCCAAAGGCCTGCTTCCATCTATAGGTGAGTCTCTATGTGCCAAATATTAGTCTCATCTGCTGGCAATTTCATGTTAAAGGAGAACAGACTGAACCAACTGGTAATCACAACTGCTATTTTAGCTGGAATTATTCTGGCTAAGAAGTTGTTTCTTTTCCTTGTTTAATTTCACAAATGTTCCTGTGAAAATTTAAAAGTATAAATGTACTGTAACTCATTAAATGACAGAATGACATAATTTAAAGGAATTAAAAATGGGCTGCTGTTTGACATTGATTAACAATCCAATTGTCCTAGTTATAGGACTTGTAACAAATCAAAGTCATACTTAAAGCGTTTAAATATTTATTTAAGGAATTTCTTCTGGGTATCTCTATCAAAATTAACAGAGGTATACCTATTTAAACCTCAGGTTTGTATAACCACTGTGGGAACTTGTCCTTTAGACAGTGGGGAAAAAAAGGAAACTTTCATTAGTTTCCAAAGTTTAACACATGTTGTAAAGTACACTTGTAGGTGAGGGAATCATTCAGACCTGATAATGATCTTGAACCACAGCAATCCCTTCAAAGATAGCGAGGAGAAAGTGACCCGTTAATCCATCTTTACACTTTGTAATGGCGCAGAAAATGTTGGTAAAGACAATGGGCTCTTCTGTAAGAGAAAATGTCCAGATTTAATCAGATAAAAAAACCAACTTTAAATCAAATTTAAAGTTAGCCAACAAGCAAGGAAGATTTTTTTTTTTTTTAAAAGGAAGGAACATCTGATGTGTTAAGGCGCAGAGAAATATTTCTAACTAAATGTATGTATCATTTCAGAGGACAAGAAAGGCTAGTTTGATTCAATTTCAGTTACACTTCTCCATTACATTTTCCTGATCAGTAATAAGAGCATCCCTACCTGCTGCAGAACCAAAGACCATTTCCTTTTTGCTCTTCATTACCAAGAAGCTCATAAGTAAGAGCTCACAACTGTGAGAAGCTGAGTGTATTAACCACATCTACCTTCTCCTCAGGCAGGCTCCCCTGATGCTGTTTCCCTCTAGGAACATCTGGGTGTTACAAACCCTCCACTGAGCAGTAGCTCTCAAACCAAGTAACAAGGGAACAAAAACAGCATTACATAAGCATTTTCCATATCTTGGGATAATGAACCCATATAGGATGATAGTGTTATCCCCCTGGTCATCCATGGAGACTGTTTCTACCCAAGCTTGCAGGCACCATATCCTTGGAAAAAAACCTGCTTTTTGCTGTCTGCAGTGGGTTTGTACATGGGATAGTAGAGAAGGAATTTGACTCAACTGCAGAATTCTCATTCAGTCCTAAGGCAATTTTTTTAGCTGTTTTTTTTTTCCTTAAGTTTTTTTCTTAAGTCAAGTAGAAAGAATAATAAACATTAAACACTGCTTCTAGAACAAGCAAACCTTGATCTTGCTCATCAACATAACACAATACTATTCCTCAAATCAAACCAAAACAAGCAGTTTTCATCTTTTCCCATTAGGTTTCATAATATTTTCTGTAACAAATGAAACATTATGAAACATTCCCACAAACAGAGGATTGAAATGAGAATGACAGAAATTTAGTTCCCTAATCTGAGTTCTCTCAATAAATAGACTGTTCTTCAGAGGTCAGGGACAGAACACAGGTACCCGGATACACAATTCTAATATCACTTATCCTATCTCAACATCACTACTGTTTTACTCTTTGGAACTACATCCATCACAGGAGAGTGGAGAAGACAGTCAAAACTGAGTTATAATCACATCTTACACTCTTTTGGAAATTAATTTGGCATAAGACATTACATATTTCATGCCTTGCCCTAGAAGGGCAGGTTAATGTCTCCTAATTGCTCTTTGCAAACAATTCTGGGCATAGTTGGCTAAAATATGAGCTTTGAAAAGCACTGGGTTTTGTTTCCCACAGAAAAAATAATATGAATTTATACTAAGGTCAATATCTATATTCAAAGGTTTTAGCCTTTCTTAAAGTGCACAACTTGGGAGCATATACATAAGGAATAAAACAAAGTAACACATTAAAATTTGAACAATTTGTTGAAGATTGAATTTTTCAGCTACAGGTAGCCAATTCACTGGTGTGACAAGACCAGAAGTGGGAGATGCTACTTCCTTTAAATACTTGCCCCATTTTTCCTTACTGTCAAATATACACTGCCCTGTGGCAAGTCTGGCTCATTAAAAAAAAACCCTGTGACCTGACTCAGCTCACTAGCTGAGGAGGAGCAGGAAGATCTCCTGCTTTCCCTGGGATTTTAAGTCTACATGAATGCTCCAGAAAGAAATAATTCCTTTGTATGATCTGTATCAGATTTTTTCCATGTGCCTCTGTTGGTTTAATTTCCAGGCATCAGTATGCTTGCTGTGCTTGGCATCACCCAGATTACCTTATTTGTACAAAAGCTTGCTTTTGTTAAGTTAAGTAAAGCCTTAACTTCTCAGCACTAATACAGGGGTCCCAGAGTCACTACTGCAGTAACCAACCTGAAAAGATTTTGAGAATATTCAAAATGGTAAATTGCAATTTCTGCAATAGTATGACACTATCAGGGTATAAATGTTCCCGAAGAATGTTGCAGATTTTAGATGCTCTGTAGAAATATCAAAAAGAAAACATTATTTTCATTCCAAGGGTACCACAGAAAAATTTCAAGACGTGACAGTGCACAAATGCAGTATTCAATGAACCAGACAAGGATTTCAATATTAAATGTTATTACATTTGTTTGAACTATTTCAAAATCAGAATATAATACTTCCATGTTAAAAAATATACCATAAGAGTGCTAGAAAATACCTTCACAAAATAAGCAAAATCATAATAGCTTCAGAAATACTGAGAAGCCACATCATATGCTGACTTGATGGTAAAGAGCAGATAATCAGCATGTAGGGAAAATAAACCACTTTTCTAGTACTTGCTTTTGATATTTTTCAACAGATTAGGTTAATACTTGACCCTGATGGACAATGGTTTCATGTATTTACATAAAATTAATCATAAAGTTCAAAATACCACATCACAGCATCAACTTTACAATGCCATTTCTCAGTTGGTTTATGTCAGTAGGACCAGGAGCTCCACCAGAAAGATACCCTAGAGCTGTTTGGAGCAACCAGCTTGTGGCTCATTCAATTTTGTTTAAATGCAGCAACTCCAGTCTAGCAACCTTTCTATTAAGTAAACCATCAGTAAATCTGAAGCAGTTTCCTCTGCTTTTGGATTACATCTGATCTGAGTAATCAGGCAAATACGATTGTGAGCTCAAGATTCCTTCAGACAACGTATTTGTTAAACTGAAAAACTTAACACAATAGCCATAAGACATCAACAAATTTAAGTTAAAGAAACTTCATATAGCTGTATTTGGATATAGAAAAAACCTTCACACACCACAAAGAACTAGGCTCAAGCCTCCCTTAACATTTAGCTCCAAAGGCAAAAATAACTGTTGCCTGTCAATTAGTGGGGGTTCAGTATTCAGACCTGCAAGGATTTTAAAACACAAGTATCTTCAAATAATTTTTTCTGTAATTGTTCCAAAGAAACCAATTCAACTATCAATACATATGACTAAACACAATAATTTGGTCCACACAATACCAAATACAGCTGGTCTGAACAATATGAGTTGGAAAAAATCTGAAATGAAACACTAATTAACCTAATAAAAGTTATCATTGAGCTGCTCATAAACAGAGAGCCCTTCTGTCATAGTCAGCACACTTCCTAAAATGTGTACATGGAAAACACTTACCTCAGTTCTGCCATTACATCCTTATGCAAATTCATAAGTAAGAGTTTTACTTTATTCCTGTCATGTTCTGCAGTGGACTGAAATATTATTTGCAAAATCTCTTGCATGATCTCCAGAGTTCTGCTTTGGGACTGTGTAGAAGTATTTCTATATGGTGCATTATAAAAAAATGAATCAATTAAGTCAGCTTTATGAAGCTTGGAATTGTTTGTATGCAAAGGTTCTTCTACAACATCAAGGTCAGCAATTATATGAAGGAGGCTGTTTAGCAAAACTGAAAAAGCAGGTTGAGTATTATTCAATTTCTCTCTGCTAAAATGACTGTCACCAAACAACACACCAGTATAGTCCTTCTTAGACTTATTTTGGAATAGCTCTAGAAAGGCAATAATATCTTTAACAGCCAGCAGTAGGTCATTTGATGAACTTTCATTAGTGATAAGGAGAATTAGAATATGCATTATTTTAGAATAATTTTTATCGTTACACTCGCATAGAATGCTCTTCACAATGTCTTGTATATCTTCAAAATTTCTTGATATGGCATCTACAGATGATGTCTTAAACTGCTCTAGTAAAACATCAGGAGCCATTGAAGAGGACTGTCCAGTGGCCAACTTTAGTAATTGAATCTCTTGATCTATCACCACAAGTAAGTGTCTAACACTGAAATTCATCAATAAATTTTCTATGCTTGTAACTACAGGAAACAAGAAGTTCTCAAAGTTGTCAGTTATATTCGTGTTCCCACTTAAAGCTGATATTGTCATAAGCACTGTGTGTGTCTGGTTTCCAACAGATGACAGTGTCATCAAAGGCTGAATTACAGAAAGAAAAGAAAGGACAGCTTCAGTATTCAGGAGTCTGGAAACTTCACTGGTCATGTTCTTAACATTAGTAAGAACATTCTTAAGTGATATTCTTGACTCTCTGTTCCAACTTAGGCCACCATAAAGATTATCCAGCTGTTCAAGAAGTCTTTTGGCCATCTCCATTTCTGACACTGAAACGCTGCCCAGAGTTTCTATGATTTGTAAAGCCATTTGGCTCTTTGGTGTGAAGGAACAATTGATTGCATGTGTATTATTCACCAGCAGTGGCACAGCATGAAGGGATAGCTCATTCCAAAAATCTAGCAGCTCTTTGAGAACTGAGCTATTTATATGATGGAGCTCAGAAAACTTCAAAATGATAGAGTTCCATTCTTTAATCTGATGAAAAAAGCAAGTCAAATTGTGAATGATATCCAGGTGAATGTCCTCCATAGAACAAGCAAAACTGTCATCCAGAGTGATAAGTTTAAGCTCCTTAATAATTTCAATGACTGCATTGTAATGAAGAGTAGAATTGGTGTGCACCAAGTCACAAGGTTTAACAGTGGTATCAATTTCAGGTGTTGCTGTTGTGAAAGTCCAGCAGAATGCTGCAGAAAAACAAGCAGAGGCCTCTCCAGGTTCATCCAAGATGTCTGACAATGCCTCCAGCAATGTTAGAAGATCTTCAACCTGGTTAGAGAACTCCTCATCAGTAAACATTGGCATTTTTTCTTCCTGAGTCAGTATGAAAGCATATATTTCAGCTAGTGCTTCTGTAACATTTCCATGATCCAATCTTTCTGTAAGGTTGATGACATCAAAGAGAAGGTTGAACACATCTTCTACATTGTAGAGCTCATCATGTTCAAAAAGCTGTGTTATTTGGCGCACACCAGTCAGGTTCCAGTAACATGAGAGGTTCTCAAATGCATCCCACCAGTCTGTTAAGGTACCTAACCCAGAGCTCTCAAGGTTAAAATGTTTGATATTTTTAAAGAAATTTTCTAGGTTCTCCTGGACCTGTTTGAATCTACTTATCAAAAAGTCAACATCCAGGTTTCTCATGTTTTGCACCAAGGCAACCATATGCTTTAGAAACTCCTTTTCATCTCTTAATGGAAAGACAACAAAAGCAGGAGACTTGAAAACTTCAAGTGCCTTCCTTACCAGTTCAATATTCAGACCTGCTGTTTCTATCATTTTCTGAGGAAATGTTTTGTGTTCATCCTGCAAGTTTGAGTCAAGTTTTCTAATCATATATTGGAAGTACTCCATCAGCAAACTGATATTTTTCTCATGCAAGAAAAGTTCAGTCTCAGTGTCCAAGTAAGAAGAGCTGTTTTCTTGGAATTCAAAAGTTTTGTTTTTCAGAAGACTTTGGACTTCTGACAAGAGTTCCACTGATATAAGATAAATGTGGTGAAAAGGATTAAGGAGCATTTCTGAAGTCTTATTAAAACCACGGGTTGACTGACTAAAATAGGTCTTATTTGACATATGCAATGAGGTCCCAACTAAATCACTGGTAATGGTTTGTATTTGCTCTCCAGAATTATTTAAAAGTTTAAACATAAATTCAAGCACATTAATGTCATGTTTTACATAAAGTTCAGGGAGAATAAATTTCAAAGTTTTTGCTATGATATTGAAATAAACACTTGCACAAATCATATCAGAACCACCTAGGGAACATTCAGGGAGTGTCAAATTAAAAACCAAATTAACAAAGTTCATCACATTCATTAGCTTAGCATCTGTCTCAGCATTTCCCAGAGATTGCAGAAGAAATAAAATATGTTTTGCACTTTCAAGGTGGGAAGGTGACTTGTATTTTTCAGTGAAATTACTTAATCCATATATCCATGTGTTACAATCATCTGCTTCATCCATTGCACTATAAAAGTTTAGAAAGGAGTTAAGATGAGATAAAAAATTTGTTTGCAAGTAGCTTATGTCTTTCAGACTATTACCCACAATTAGTTTGGTAATATTCTGGAAAATGCTGATACAAACTATATATTTGTCTTGAGGTACACTTTTTAAAAAAGCAGATGTGTCATTTATCTCAGTGAGAATAATTTCAAGTTCCTCTTGGGAGAGCTTAAGAATAGTAGAAAGGGAATTTTCAATGGAAAATATACCAGCACCCTTATCTTCTCCCTCAGATCCTCCTGAGATGAAAGCATCAGGCCAAGAATTCAAAACCTCTTCATTAACAATCTTCAGTATAGATTTCTGCATTTTAGTTATCACAGCTCCTATTGTCTCTAAAACACTTTCTAAACTGCTATCTTTAAGCAAGTTTGTGACTTCAAATGAATTGTTAATTACACTTTGAAGATTAACAAGGAAAGCCTCAAGATCTTTCAAGTCATTTGAATTGCCACGTTCCTGAAATACAGCTTTTAAAAGCTTCATTGCTGCTCCTGTAGCTTCAACAATAGCCATAGCTGTATTATTGCAGAGTTCATCTTGAGTTACATTTAAAAGGTTTTCAGAGAGATATGCCAAATCATCTCTCAGGCAGACAAACCAGGTTGAATTCAAATTTAAGATTTCTGATGCTTCTTCAAAAATCTCGGTCCATGCCTGAAGCCATGTAAAAGTGCAGTGCAAAGCAGAAGGCACACTTATCTTATCTCCCCAGTTGGTTACGTCAGACAGGACACTGTCCAATGGAAGCAGAAGTAAGTTATAAACCTCTGCTGAATGTTCTATTGAACTCATGTTTGCTAGATAGAAATCAGTGCACCCATTATTTACCAGGCATTCTGGAGGCAGATCAAGAAACTCTTCCAAATAACATAAGAGATCTGTTTGGAGCTCTTCATCTATAAATAAAGCTTTAAGACTGCTCAGAGTGTCATAAACAACTTGTATATCTTTGTTTCCATTCTGTGCAAGAAACTGTGCCTGAAACTCTGTGTAATTGTAAATTAATAGCAATTTTTCACAGAGAGACTTACTGGTGAGGTTCCAGAGAAGATCAAAAGTTTCAAACAGAAAATCAAAAACTAGCTCCTTATTTTGCACATCATGCCATACTTGAGAAGATGACATACTTTTTGAAACCTCATAAAGAAGTTTTAACAGTGTGTTATTGCTTTTCATATTTAAAACCAGATCATCATTCTGGTACAGAGAGAGAATTTTTGGAACAAGTGAGGCCACAAAAGTGCTGTTTAATTTTTGGATATTTCTGAGGAAATAATGCACAAGTTCTCCTAATTCTTGTACTTTATACATAAAAGTTGCATTGGAGAGAAATAAAGAGGAGGTATTACTCACTCCAGGAATTGTGCTAAATGAGACATTGACATGATCACCAGACAAGGATTCAACTTCAAAGAGATTTCTTTGCAAGTGTCCACTAAAATGTTTTAAACGGTCCAAAGCAGTAATATTTAACTCTGGCCAATCAGTCAGGATCTTTTTGAGCAACACCATACTTCTATTATAGATTTTATTTTCTGTAATAGAAGATAAAATTCTAGATAAGGTCTCAATTGCTTCTTCCTCTTCCACTTGACGCAAGAGAGAAAGCCTAGAATCTAGTTCATGGAATACAATTTCCACTATATGCCAGAAATGTTCTGTCTTCTTTTTTGTCCAGATGCTTTGAAGAGGCTGGAAATTTTTTTGTAGGTCATTATGAAGTTCAGAAACTGCAAGTGAAAAATTGGTGGCAGATTCCTCCTCCTCAGCAAAATTTTTTATCCCTATAATTGCATTTCTCAAAGCATTTTCAATTAGAGACTTGTTTGAAGAAACCAAGAAATCAAACATAATTTTTTCTATGACTTCTACAAGATGAAAAAGATGATCCATTTTCTTTTCACCAGAAATCCTTAAGTTTTCTTCTGTCTTCAAAAACTCTTTGAGAGATGTCAAAAGCCTGAAAAATTAATTGTAAGGTTTTTTCTTGTTAGTTACCTAGCAGGCAGAGAAGAATTTTTTAATTGTATATTATTTAAATTTTAGAATCTAGATTTATTTACTTAATTCAGGGAAATTCCAAATATAATTTAAATAGCAGTCATTAATTAATCATCACAAAATCTGAATTAGCAAAACTTGACAATTGCTTTGGGTTTCAAAAACTGTGAAAAAAACGCTACTGGAAAGTCACAATCTCATTCAAATCAAAACCTGACTGCAGACAGCAGTTAGAGAATTGTGCATTTATCAGTACTTATAATCAAGCTTGTAAGCCACAAAGAGTCCAACACCTTTGAGTACATCACATTTTCAGCTGCTGAAAAGATTTTATGTCCCACAGACTATTTTACAGACAGGAATGTATCAATAAAATAAATCAAAACCTCTAATTTTCTATGAATTCTAAAGAATTTTTTCTTTTCTCATAATTATTGAAAGCTAGAACATGCCAATTGACTGCTCGATAGCTGAACACTGCTATTTTAACATCTACAAAAACATGAAATCACAGAGAAAATTGGAGTGCACACACTGATGTTTCTATTGTGTCAGTATTATTTATCAAAATAAAAAACAATTACTAGCTCTATAAGATTGTTCAAGAGGAGGAGGTGAATGGAAGAAAGAGCCTTTGAATGTAAAGGCCTCAAGCTGAAAATATCTTCTCCTTAAACACGTTTTCTTTCTCTCCAGACTCTGCAATCAACAGAGGTAGAGCACAAAAACATTGTGTACTGCAAACAAAAGGGTAAAACTGCTGAAAAAATTGCTTTTGGTTATTGCAATTGGTTATTGCTTACCACTGCAGCAGCACAGCAGTTTTCTTTTATAAATTAGAACCAAATTTCAAAACATCCTCCTAAATTTTTGAACAATTTGACTGCAATCCCTCTCTTACTAGTTGATAATGGATTGTTTCTTTCAGATGTATCCTCACATGTTGACTCGTATAACATGAATCATATCTCCTCCAGTTATCACGTTTGATATGAACAAGTACAAGCAATGAGAAACTGAGCCAATATTCTAACTCCTGGAAATGATGCAAATCATGCAGTGTGTCATTAGAAAGAGGGAAGTATCAGTTCCTGTGCTCTGCCGTAGACCTTTCTTGAGCCTCTGCCAACTCTGACAAACATTAACTCCCTTTATGTACAGCTTAACTCCTCTGTAGACCCTTCCAGAGCAGGAATATTTGAACAGGTTGACAAAACATATAATTCTTAATAAGTACAGGGCTTACAGCCAAATCTTCACATAAAGTGTTTACATTTGCATTAAGTCATGAACCAAACAGAGAACTTGAAACTGTAACGAAAGCTCAAAAACATCAAAAGAAATCAGACTCAGAGTGCCCTAATGAGGTTGCAAACTACATATGTACCACTAAATCTATGTGTTTAAAATTCTGTTTTCCATAGGCTGTAGCTGTTGATGAAGGCTTCTGTTACAAAATCTCCTGCACAACTGAGCTGACCTCTGCAATAAAAAATCTAAATATTTCACAGCCACTAGACTTGCTATACATGAGAACTATTACTGAGTCACACCAACTACTTGTGGGAATTCAACTTTCTTTGCAGAACAAGATAAGGAATTAATGGCCTAGTTCAAAATGCCAATTATCTATAGCTGCTGATTCCTGGGAATCCTGATCATGTAGTAGTCACATCCTCTGCTGAACTTCTAGGAATTATATTATATATATTATATAATTATATTATAGATATAATTATATTATATATATTACATATATAATATATATAATATTCTGAAACATCTCTTTTCCAGAATATGTAAGCATCAGCACAATTATTTGATTGTATACAGGGTTTTGAACTACAGAATAAAAAATAAAATCACAGAACTGACAAAATCAGAAATCAATTAAATGCAAAGTAAAATGAATATTCAGGTTGATCTAATTTTATAAGACAAGTTTCAGAAAGATAAATATGACTTACCAATCATGAGATGAAACATATCCTTCTGAAAAATAGGCATCTGATTTCTCATTCCATTGTTGGATCAGGGTATTTATCTCTGAAAAAAGTTTCCTGCCTTGACTGTCATCTAGAAATTGAGACATTAAATCAGCCATGATTCTTCTAAGTTCCAAAAGGAAATTCTGAGAGAGACTGCTGCTGTCAAGCCATTGCTCAAGTACCTAGTGGATTGAATACAAAACAGAACATCTCATTAATCAAAGCTTTTTAACTTAGGCAGTACACAGAATTTGCATGTCTTTAAAAAATTCACACAGTAAACAATGATACCAAAATTTCTCCCTTACAACCTCTCTAGACTCTGAAATGACTGACATGAGGAAGGTTGATTTTCAATACAGTTTTGACTGACATGCAAAGGAACGGGCTACAGCACACAGACAACTGACATGTGGTGCTGACCTTGCCTAAAGACCCAGGAATGGAAAAAAGATGGACTGAGGCTGAAATAAACCAAAAGCGGACCTCCACAGACAATTACTCAGGCTTCTTTTACCAGACTTCTGCCTACACTGCCAATGTGATGGAAGATAGCAGCCTTAAAATTTTTGGAGTCCCATAACACAGAGATGATGAAGAAACCTGCATGGTCCCAATGTGTAGCCCAGAAATAAGCACAAAAAGGCCTGGCCAAAACTACTGACTGCTCTCCTTTCCTTCACCATTACCTTTCTTTTAAATGTCAAGGAAATATAACAGATTTACTCTAAGAGATATTCTGTTCACCAAGACAATTCACAGTGGCCAGCATTTTACAGTACTTCTGGTTCCCATAATAAGAACATCAACCCGTGCTAAGAGTTTTAAAATCATGTCTGAAATTATTACTGGATTTTTCTGCATAGAAATTAGTGCATTTGTTTTGGCAGTCACATTGCATTATTACCTCCTACTTCATCATACAGCAGGGAAACCTCAAAGATTACCTTTTTGAGGAAATACACAGGAAGCTCTATATGTTTTCTTTACATAATGTTGCAAACATCTCTAGAGCCGCTTGATACATGATTCTTCTTTTTTTAATGGAGAAAAATATGATGTTTCAGTATAAAAACAAATACCAGTGTTAAGGTAGCTAGGTATTTTTCTTAGGAAGCATCTGAATATTTAATTATTTTGTCCATGCAACTACCCATATGTCATTACAGAAAATGCATGGCAAGCTATTTTGCCAGATCAGAATTTTAAGATGCTCTACTGGAGGTTTACTTTTATCTTGCTTCAGCCACCACTGCCAGAGACAGTGAGGGTAAAAAATAAATAAATTAATTATAGATCAGTGGAGGTGTCTAGTCAATTTTCAGTTTTGTTCAACATTCGGTCTCAGGTGGAACAGTAAACAGTTTCCTCTGACAAGTTTCTGCATTGCAGTATATTTCATGACATACCCTATTACATTTCAAATCTGACTAAGTGGACACATGATGATAGATTATACTGCCACTGTAATGATTCTTTATAAGGATCATTTCATTTTATTAGCAAGGAAGTTCATGAAAACAATTTTATAGATAACTTAGATTTTTTAACTGAGTTATTGCTGACAATCTGCATGCAAAAACTAGGAATTCAAAGTATTAACTTATTAAAGTTACCCGTGCATAAAGTTTGAACTTGCTGACAGCATGAACAAGATACAGTTTGGTCTCATGCTGTGCAGAATTACAGCCCTCTCCATTATTCTCTTTATTTGTTTCATCTTCTGGGACAACAGCCAGAGCAGAGCACACAAACTGCTCCAGTGTCTCTCCTGTGGGAATCTGGCAAGGACACAAGAAATTGATGAGTATTTCAAGAGCAGCTGCTGAGTGTTATCTCTCCTATCAACTTACTTATCTAATGAAAATTAGAATAACACTTAGCTTCTTCAGCAAGAACAAAGCCCATTTAACCCAGCCTCACATTTCCGGGCACATACTTCAAAGTACTCCACTTGCAGGCTGCTGTATAAAATACCAGTGGCCCCATTGAGGTGCTCATACAGCAGACAGAATGATGAAAATTGTATATGCAAGGAACTTTCACCTTATAGCTACACTGGTGTTGATACTTCTACAGTAATTTGCAGGCTGGCACTGAACTAACTTGACTATGATACAGTACTCCTACAGTAGAATAACTATATTGAAACAACTTCACAAGTACAAAAATTACTGAAATAAAACACTTAGTACAGTGATGCATCTCAACCAGTGATTACATGCAACATAGTTTTAAATTGAGATTGCTGGGTTTCAAGAGAGTGGCCAAGAGAAAAGCATTTGTTCCTCATAGATTAATTTTTTTAATTCTGTGATGAATGATTTAATATTCCCAAGCCAATAAATATTATTAATGCTTACAAAAATAATGCACACATTTTAATGCTGTTATTGCCTTTCTGAGATACTTTACATCCTTGCTCCTTTCAACTTTGACCAGAGAATTCATAAAAAGTTTTGCAGGTGTTTTGACACCAAACAAAATGGGGCGTTACATACAGAATTGAAGTGTTCCAAACAAATATCATCCAGGCTTCCATATTTGCTTTTATAGTTTTTTACGGTCTTCAATGTTCTAACACAAGCACAAAATATTGAGATACTAGTTTAAATAGTTACCAAGTGAGTAGCCTGCGATTTCACGGTCAACCAGAGCTACCAAGCTGCAGTTGAATACAGTTCATTTGATCAAAAAGGCCATCACTGATATTTCATTAAAAGGCCATTCAAAAGTCAAGGATTTTTTTTTAAATAATTTACCCATTTGTTTAAATCAGCTATTTTTACAATGAGCTCTTCTGGAGTGTAAGTATAAACTCTACTGCTCTGCAAAGAACAAACAGATTTCACATAAATACCAACATGTTCTGTTAAAGAATTTGTGGACTTCAGCACAAATTCAAAAGATGCTTCCAGTTTTCTGCAGTCAAACAAGATCACCACAACAGACAACTTTGGTCTAGAGGATAGGTTAGAATGCCCTATCTGAAGAAAGATTTTCTTCTGGATATGATACCTTACTAGGATATTTGATTAAGCACCACTGAGAAAACTCAGTCTAGTACATTCATATCAAGACTGCACAACTGAGAAGAAAGGATTCTTGGTCTCCCTTAATTTACACACAGAAAAGACAGGCATTCTTTGTCCAGCAAATGAGATGAAAAATGCTGCCAGGCAAGCTAATCCTGTCAGACTCAAATCAAGGATTTGGTTTAAAAGCTTAGTGGAGCAATCCTCAGAATTCTCTACAGGACTGGATAAAAAACTCATGACTCTGCCATACACAATTGTGACTTCAAAGAAGTATAAATTCATTAGTGTAACAACCAGACCTATCAGCATCTTCACGTGCAGAGATTTCAGCTAAAGCTAGACATTTATTTGATGGGAATGAAGACAGGATAGTTAATAACCTTGTAGCTGCTTCACAAAGCTAAGCTTCTGTAATGCAGGAAAACACATTCAGGGTGCAAATGAAAAAAAAAAAATCAAAGAGATATACACCAAAATTTTCAACTAATTTACCTCTGTTAATTGTGCTGTATAACTTAGTAGCTTCTCAACACGAGGGCCATCAAAACCAAATCTGGATTCAAGTTCTGCTTTCACAGCAAATGGATTCCATAAAACATCCCCGAAAGAAAGATTGTATTGAAAACCTGAAAGAAAGGAAATCTTTTGTTTATGTAATTAATTCTTTTTATTCATGTTTTTTCTTGGTGGTTCTCTATTGTTGAGATCCAAGTACCATGTTCCCAGCTTTTTTTGGGGACAGCAGGATGTGTGCATCTGAACACAAATTTACCTAGCCTAAAACCCATGATTGCACTACTGTAAAGTCAGTTAATGTGATGGCATTTCAGCAGTTTATATGATGATGGTGGGATGCCCCTGCAATTGCCAGCAAACTCAGGAGGGTGCCATTCTGAAATGTACAGAGGCATGCAAAGGTGTGTGTGTATGGACTGGATGTGAATCACTACTGAGAATGAGAGCAACGGGAGAATACCAGAAGTTCCAGAGAAATCAAGTTCATTCTCTGTGCAAGGGCTCGAGCACATCACCTTTGTCCCACATCAGCCTCCCCTTTTGCAGATGCAGTGGGATTTAGACTGCATATTACTCTTACCCTGACCTTCCACACCAAGCAGACAGCTCCACCTGTACATTGTGTGCTTCAGTTTGCCTGTGAAACTTACTTCTGATCTTTTCTTGTTTTCCTAGGGCCAGCCTACCTTCTCCAATTAAATTCATCTTCCATGGTGAAACATTAGATGGAGAAATGCAACCCTTCAGCTGACAGCAGAATTTATGAGAACAGAAAAATTAAGCTTAAAGTAAACCAGTCATAATGCTTAACATGCATGTCCAAAAAAAACTGGTCTCCTATCAAATGGAAGAAACTGTCCCTTGCATTGATTTAGTCTCTCTCCAAAATTCATTGCTAAACCATGGCCATTCTAAACACTATGCATTACACCAGCTTATCTGATACTTTGTTTATCTGATAATTGCCAGAGTCTGATAAAATTTAGTAATCAGTATCAATATTTAAAAAGCAGATCAGTAAAGAAGTAGGTTAGAAGTACAGCAATACAGTTTAGTCTCTGCACATCAGGAACTTAGCAGAAGATCCAACAGTTACTATCATATATTTCAGTATTCTTATTAGGTAGTTCCAAGAAAATCTGAAGCAAATTTCTTACCTTCTAAGCTCCTATCCTGTACTGATGCAGCAGTCAAATTCAGTGCCATTTTCACCACTTCATAGAAACTTTTGCCCAGTGGCATCATAGCTAAATCCTTCAGTGATGCTAAGGTACTGAAAGTGGAAAATAAAAGAAAAATCAAGCTCTCTATGCACCCAAAAACCTGAAAGGACTTGCTGGAAAGAGACAACCTTCAAGCAACTGAATAATAAAACACTTTTTTTACTGTTGAAAAATCAATGTTTTATGAAATTAGAGTTTAACTGAAGAAAGCACATATTGAGATTTTACAGTTAGAGGAATTAAGGAAATTTGTCCTGTAAGGACCAATGTCCTCTTACAGAAAAAAAAGGATGAGGAAAAATAAGGGCAAAACTACCACATTCTCTGTTATCCCCACACGAAGGCAGGATCAACACAGAATACTTACATTTTACTTCCCATCAATCTGTGGGAAAAAATATTTTAAAGCAACATAATACTCATTCTCACAGGAGGTTAAACAAAGTGCATTACAGAATGCATTGATAAAAACATATCTATTGAAATTCTAACAATTCTCTGTCACCTTCGCTGTGAACAAAAATTCTCTGTTAATATAACTGTAACTTATTACTTACATTTTATGTCAAATTTACCAGTTATTTCCGACCAAGTAATGCCTTCTTATTATGCAAATAAGAATCCAGCATTCCAGAGTGGATCATCAGTCTCCAACATTCATGAAAAGAATGGGGGAAAAAAAACCAAAACAAACACAAAAAAAAAAAAAAGAAAAACCCACCCCTACCATAAAACCCACAGCTGGTCACATAGATGTGAAAAGTTCTGTTAAGCACCTCTGAGAGACACAGCAAAACATGGTACAGACCTAAAAGTGGGAAATGTAAATTCAGAACCTTTTTACTGGCTAAATTCTGCCTTAGAAAGCAGCACTAGAATGCAGTATGGTAATATGAAACTAGTCAAGAAACAAGCATTGGGTTTTGTGGCTTGCTTTCCAAATTGCATTAATAAGGGTAAATTTGGTCACAGAAGGGCACAGAAATCTTAAAAAACCCTAAGCAAACGAAAACATCAAAACCCATATGTAAACATCCGAGTCTTATATGTAGTTTCACATATAAGACTCAGATGTTTAATGTTAATAGCTCAGAGAACAAGCTGAAATAAAGTTACAAATTACTCAGGCATAGGGAAAAATAAATAAATTTTAAAATTCAAGCGCCAACATAGGTGTTATCCACCTATTGTAAGAGAAACTTATTTCCCAGTTTGAAAAATGTTATGTCATCGTATCCTTCTTATCTGGATGGGGAGTTCTTTTTGTTGGTTTTCTTTGGTTTGGGTTTTTTAGTCTAAGAAAAAAAAAAAAGACAATGGGATGATAAAGGATGGCAGAACAGCACAGTAATTTCTCATTCATGATCTTTGGGCCCCTGCTTCCCCACGGCCTAAGGCTGCTGAGCTACATGGCCAGTCTAGCACAGGCACCCAGGGTCAGAGGGCTTCTCTTGCTTTGTGACTGTGTTATTGGACTACAATGACAATTGCCTATCAATCTACTACAACAAACTGCCTACCCTGGCAAACACATATCTGACTTTCACCTAACAATTACCTTATTTTACTGAAAATTCCTATAGCTATATATCTTGGTCTATGCTTTAATTCTATGTCTTCCTCTGAATCCAACTGTCCTTTACCTGATTCAGAACACAGCCTCTGGGGTGTTTTTCTTACCACTTCATTTCTTACAAGAGAAGATATTTTGAAAGCAAGAGGCTTAAGAAACAAAACTGAGTAATTTTCCTGATACTGACTAAGTGCTACATACATTCAGATCTGATTAGGATCAAAACTATTATTTTCTTATATTCATGTTCTGTCTTTCAAAGACCCCCAAAGTACATTACAAAGTTCAAAGCCATATTATGGGATGGGCTAATTCAGACATTGTTAACATGGAGCTACTTATCAAAGACTCCTAGGGCATCTCTGTTGAGTTTGGCAGAGATGCAAAACACAGTTATAAAGGAATCAGTGTGGGTGAAAATTCCTAACACAGTTTTATAAAAGCAAAATCTGGTAAAGAGAAGAAAATTTTAGCCTCTTTACACTGTAAAGGATGATTATTTCATTAAGTAGACAGTGAGAAGAGCAAGAATTGCAGATAACATTTTAAAACAGAGCACTTTCAAGACTGTGAAATTACTTACTTTTGAATAACTTTTAGAAACTGTGTTATGGTAGCTAACTCATCTTCTGTATAAAAGCTGTTTAGTTCAAGATGAGGCAGTGAATGCAGAAGGTTCCAGAAATATGGTTGCTTGTACAGATTTTCTGCTCTAGAAATAATTTTCTCTGCTTCATTCAAATCCATCTTTAGGTGGAAAAACATAAAAATTACATGCAACACTTCCAACAGAAGAAAAAAATTTAAAAAAAAAGCAGGTGTCTGTTATTTCCCTGAGCCTCTTGACTTTTAAAGCATTCATCATATTTTTCTGAAGTAGAAACATACCTCTAGATTTGGCAATATACCACATTATTTTGGTGGTATTTTGAACTCACAGAAGCTTTGTTTCTGATATCTGTCTCTGCTCTGATGGAAAAAGGGAATTAAAGGTAAAGCTCTTTCTGCTCAGAGGTGTAACCAAGGGAAGGATAATCTCTAGCTCTCAAACCTTGCAATGAATTCTAAGTCCAAGGTAGAAAGATCAGGGGTCTGCCCAGGCCTTGCCATCCTTGCCTCACAGCTCTTTGCAGGGCTTGTGGGGGTCTCAAATAGCAACTCATAAGAATGGTTCTTTGAAGGTGAACTGCCTGGGATAAAACAACTTCCTTCACAGGACTACACAATATGATGCCTATGCAGAACAGGCTTTTATCACACTTTTTTATTATGTGGTCTTTGCTACTCTAAATTAATGTCTCACTAGGGCTTTTTTGCACAATGGTGACATAAGCATGCCTACAAAAAGAAGTTTGTGTATACACAAGCTCTGTTTCTAATAATGATCACCTACTGTCAACTTAATATTTTCTCAGTGTTGAAAAATACATTATTTCTATTCTATATTGCATTCCAGAAATGAAATTTCATATTGATATGGCTCCTTTCAATCAATGAGATCTTATGAGAAATTAAAAAATGCTATCTAATTTCAAGTTATTAACTGGAAATCTAAGTTTCATGAAGTAGCAGTAACAATCAATCAAATATGGAAAAAAATACATCTGACAGATGCACTTTTAAATTGCTCCTAATAAACAAACACCCTTCAAATCGTTGTGGATTTTAGCTACTAACAACCTAGACCAGTTTAAATAAGTAATCTAGAAATCATTGAACATCAAATTTACAAGACATAATTTTTCATTTAAACATCTTTTTTGTTTTTAGATAATCTACTTAAACTTGACAGGATACAAATTTTTAACCATTATAATAAAGATCCTCAAATCCCAGAACAGTAATCTAGAAATAGACTGTAAAAAATACTTACAGTAAGAAAAGTGGTGATGTTATGGAGCCCTGTAAAATTAAATATTTTCCTTTAAAGAGAACATTATTAGCTTTAGAAGGATCAATATTATAAGCAAGAGCTAGCAGTGCACAAAGGATGTTTCTAGAAAAGTAAAGGCACATCAAGCAACTAAAATCCCAAAGATAGCGGACCATTTGATTTTCTGTGCTTGCAATACTTTTACTGTAATCACAAAAACAATTTAAAAGACATTGCTTACTGCTCAATTTTTTAGTGAGGCAAAATCATCATACCAACACTACATGAATGTCCTAGCTGCCAGACAGCCAGGCATGCAAAGTGCCATTTCACCTAAATCTTTCTGCTTGAAAACTCAGCCAGAGACACAGGGTAGTGGGAGGTCTTCAATGCCCCCCTGGTTCAGCAACAAGGCTGTGCAGTGTGGGTGGAAATGCAACAGGAGACTCAGACCCTGCTATTTCCAGTCTCACTCTTTCTGTGCAAGACTGAAGGTCACCTAAGGTCACCAGGTTTTCCATTCCTATACTATTTAGTGCAACAGAAAAATACAGGGAGGGAGAGCTAAATCCTCATAAACTACTTTTGAATGCATGTTAGAACAAGTAACCTTGTACTCTGATTATAATCCTTATCTTTTAAGCTTTCCTCTGTGTTTTCATAACTCTCAAGTATACAATGGCACGGTTTTAGAAAGCTAAATTTTTTCTTTGATAATGTTGATTATCCACAGTATTGATAATCATAAAATGACTTTTTTAAATCAGCTAAAATTTCAGTTGCCTATTTTTTTTTTAAGATCAAACTATTCTTTTGTTTGATGGTTATCACTAACCAACAGGCAAAATAATTAATTTTTAGAAAAATCACAGCTTACCTGAGAGCCTTGAGTTTTCTTCCCATAGCTTTTCTAAGGCCATGGCTTTCTCCGTAGTATCAATAAATTCCTTTGCAAGTTCTTCTATCTCTTTCATGAAGTCTAGATCAGGTCCAGTGGCTCTCTCTGGACCACTGTGGGGGTTTGCACTATTTTTGACAGAAAAAAAGAGGGAGAGGTGAGGTATTAGCACTGAAATCAAGTAGCTGAAAAATGTGTACATACTCACAGCAGTATTCTGATTTTTTTTAATTAATTTATGTATTCAAACAATTTTTGTTTAGTTAAATTCATTAGCATGGAAGTTGCAGCACTGGGTCTCAAAACCTCAAGAAAGTGGGCAGTGAAAAATTGCTGAGGTCACCTATGCCAATTCTGGCAGCAGACAAGAACAGACACATCCGAAAAGTCTTTAATATTTTTGAACACACTCAACTTTTCTCCCAGGATTATCACGTGTCCTGATGGCAGTTCTTTGATGAGAAAGTTCAAGCCTTCCTATTGCATCTAAGGTAACACTTTGTTTTTTTCAAATACATGCAGCAACAGATAAAAAGAGTATTTTATTCTTATTACTGGCTTTTTCCTGATTTTAGCTTGCAGACTTACCACTGATAAATGTTATCTCTGTTATTTCTATTACATTGATGTCTGGTGACTACTCAACAGCACAATTTTCTAACACTTTTAAACTAAACCAGGAGTCAGAATAATTTAAATGCCTCTTTACAGGACAAAATTACTTAGACCCTCCTAAAATACCATAAACACAGGAATAATTATATTTAGCATATTACTAGGCAGTTGAATTCTGTTTTATCTAATAGGAGATTCAAATTATCTTTAGAGCTACATCTTGTCTAGCAAAAATATTGCTATTTTGCATCAAAACCACAATAAACTGTCACAGAGTCAAAGAATGGGTCAAGCTAGAAGGGACCACAGTGGTCATCTGGTCCAACCTCCCTGCTCAATCAGGGTCATCCTAGAGCACACGGCACAGGATTGGGTCCAGATGGTTCTTGAACATCTCCAGTGAGGCAGATTCCACAACCTCTCTGGGCACCCTGTTCCAGTGCTCAGTCCCCTGCACAGTAAAGAAGTTCTTCCTCATGTTCCGGTTCATGTGTGTCAATTCTGCCCATTGCCTCTTGTCCTGTCCCATTTACAAAAATATAATAAAGGGTTATATTCCTTTCCCATCGAGCTTATATGCCAATACTTGCTTTCAGCACAATTTTTATTTATTGAAAGAAAAGCCTAATGAGATCAATTCACAAACCAAAGAAAGCTATCAGTCACCACTTTCTCATTCTCTTATTTCTCTTTCTCTCCCTCCCTGATCCTCATTTGTTCAGATACTCACAGAGCTGTTTGCAGCTTCAGATTAAGGGAAACAAAGAAAATTTCATCTTAAAACGATCAAGTTCTTAATTGTTTCAGTACAGCTTATTTTGATCCCAACTTGGCCAACAGCCAGCAAGATATCTGAAAACTCTTTCACCATCCTCAAACTTCAGTGGGCTAAAGGCAGAAAATTCCTCAATATATATTATGTCCCTTTTAAATGGAGTTTTAAAAAGCAGCTTTTCAACAAAAGCTGCTGTTCAGAAGGTGACTTTTTGGCTGACTAGAAGTGGCACTTTAGCTGTTGTCTTTGAAAACTACCTCATAAATTCCAATATTACTGAAACTCCCAGTGCCCAAAATTTCAGACAGCTGAGAATACTTGTGTCTGGCAAAGAACTGAAACACTACCTACATACTGAAATCTTCCTAGCACTCTGCTTTTTGAGCATGAACAAGAAGCCAGCACTTGACCAGAATAACAGCAGCCACAGTCAGGACATTAAAAAACCAAAACTCTAGCTCAGTTTCCATGGGCTTTTTCACAGATTTTGCTATCTGGTGACTACTCAACAGCACAATTTTCTAACAATACTTTTAAACTAAACCAGGAGTCAGAGTCATTTAAATGCCTCTTTTTTGGTTGTCTTAGTTGTTTTTTTGGTTTTTTTTTAGGGTTTGGAGGGAGTGGTGGTGTTAGATTTTGTTGGGTTTTTTCCCCAATAGTTGCTGAACGGAAAATTGAAAACTAAACTCTCCTAAAGTCACTTAAAATAAAAAATGTTCAGAGGAGTGCAGTATTTCAACCCACATTGTTTGCTCTCCAAACTAAATCCAAACCTTGCATCCCCATCTACAAACCTCCTGATTTTAGAAACGTTGCAAACAACAACACACTGAGAAAAAAGGCCTTAATCACACAGGAGCACACAGCTTTCTCCAGGGGCTGCTGGGGCTGCCTGGCCTCCTGCCAGCAGCCAGGGACACAGATAGCAGTGACAGAAGGAATCAGTAAGTCTTCCCACTCTATCCCTATCACCAACTCTGCTGCACCTTGGATCTGCAAAGCTTGGGTTGATAAACAGCAGGGAAACAATAAAAAAGCATCCTCTTGTCATCTAATTTTATGTGCTTTAGCCACTTGTTTGATGCACAGCGGAAGCACATTAGATAACACAGGCTGAATTGACAGCATGCTCAGCTGGGCTGTCCTTTCACTACTCCTAGGCTGGAGGACTAGGGATACAAGCTACTGCCCTGTGAGGTCCCACAGAGCACAGCTGAGGAAAGGAGACTGGGAAGATACAGACTAGAAATATTAAAGAAATCAGCAGACAGCACTTGGAGTATGGTAGCTTGTTGAGGACTCCCCATGTGTGGAGATGCGAGGCTTGACTCCATTTCAGAAGGCTGATTTATTATATTAAGATATATATTACATTAAAATGCTACATTAAAACTATACTAAAAGAATAGAGAGAAAAAGATCATCAGAAGGCTTAAAGGAACAAGAATAGAATGCATAACAAAATCTTGTGACTGCTCACAGCCTAGCCTATCACACAGGTGGCTGTGATTGGTATCAGTTGAAAACCATCCACATGGACCAATGGAAGATGCACCTGTTGCATTCCACAGCAGCAGACAGTTATTGTTTACATTTCTTTCCCGGGGCTCCAGCTCCTAAGGAGGGAAAAATCCTAGCAGAGGATTTTTCATAAAATATCATGGTGACAGTGGCTCTGAAGAGCTACAGGGCAAAGTGCAAGGAAATCATGTTGATGGTAAAAGTGGAGAGGGAGCTGAGGAACTGTAGGGGGATGAGGATATTTAGGGCATGGCAAAAGGAGCAAATCCAAAGCATAAGACGAAGCCGTTACAGAAGAGAAGGCACATGTGCAATGTGAAAGACCCATAGAAATGCCACTTCCCTAAGCACAAGCCTCTCAGCAGTCCAAGAGCAGTTGTTTGGACATGCTGGCTGTGAGCTATTAGCTTTGTGGGAATTTCCAGGTCAGCAGCCATGTCAGCTAGCTGCCATTCGTGACCCTCTTTTGCCATCATTGTCACAGACCTGCCTCTCGCTATTCTTGGATCTGAGCATAGCCTCTTTATGAAGGGAAAATGGCAACAGGCATGACATTGGTTATCAGACTCAGTTTTATGAAACACATTAAATTATTACAGAGATCCTACTTGCTGAATATCTGTTCTAAGATTAAAGGATTTTATATAGGATTTTATATAGCATGGTAATAGAGGACTACATTTAGCTCCTAATAAGAGTGCTACAAGTTACTACTGATCTCTTAATTCAGCACAGGTTATACAAAATTACAGGAAAATGTCACCATCTTGCCAGAAAGATAAGAAACTACACTTCAAAAGCAGATGCAGACACAGTCAAAGCAAAGAATTTTGAGCCAGTGTGCCAACAAAAGTACTTAATTGTTACTGCCACTCTCCCAAAGAGCCTTCAAAGTGTGTTTTCTGGAGCAGAAGGTGGCATTAACTCATTTGTGTGTGAATGTGTAAAGGAAGTTCAGCAGACGTCCCAAAGAAATTCCTAGCAGCAGTTGCTAGGAACATTAAAGAAGGGAAGCAGGAGATAATAAAAAGTACAAAAGGAGGAAGCAGTAATTTGTAGGAGAGGACATACATAATTAGAACTGGGGTGTTTGAAGAAGGGGTTGGGGAATGCATGTATAAAATTTCATTATCATCCATGGTAGCTCTTCCCTCAACTGTACATTTCCACAAAGTTTGTGAGAACAGAAATCAAACTAAAGACATGCATTGATACAAGCTTTGACTGTGACAAAATACTGCAAGAGAGCAAAAAGATTGCATCTCTTTCAGCATGTAAAAGCAATTGTCATTTCCTAAAGCCATGACTCAGAAACATTAATTCTGTCCAATTTACTCAGTAACTCAGGATAACAATAAGAACATTTCAGAGTTCATCTGAGAACTCAGCTATGATCTGAAATGCCTTTTAGACTCCTGATTTTCATAAGCATCTCAGCAAACTCATCTCAACCTCATCCCTGTCACCACTTTAATAAATTCTCTCTAAAATTGCAAAGCCCTAACTGGCTTCTATTCTGCATTATATCAGGGTTTTATAAGCCTCGACACATCAATACTAATGCACACACTGGACTGTGTGTCTCTCACAGAAAGATCTTTCTCTTCCATGTTGATACAATTATAACCTTCCTAAAATGTAATGGACTAAAATATATAACAAATTTAAAAATATATTCTTCTTAATTTGCTCCAAAATTAAGAAACCCCATGTTTAAATTTCTTTTTCTCCATAACTCTGGCAATCCATAAGCAAGGTCACAAAAACTGCTTCTGTTTTTCAGCTACACAGACTGAAACTACAAAAGTTGGCCCAGACCACAGAGTTAATATTGCAGAAAGTTGCTTCAGCCATAGGCTGTCTCAAAGAACTATTTCTTATTTGAAGATATATGTCACTAAAGAAAAATCTGACCCTTTAAACAATTCTTACACAAAGAATTTTGCTGATGCTTAGACCTTCCTTGATTTTACTTTTCCACACCTGCCGCTGTACATGAGTTCTTCTGATGCTCCTCCACTGGAGAACCCAGGCCAGGTGTTGATAAAGCAAAAGGTTTAGAACAGTAGGAAGAAAGGGACTGGCATGAGCAGAGCTGCTCCAGGAGGGGACCAAACTAGGAGCTGGGGCAACCCTGGAACAGTCCATGCCCTCACCAATGAGGCACAGTCCCCCTGGCTGCCTGCAGGCAGACACAGGGGTGTGTTACAGGCTCCAGAGACAGCTCCAACAAGGCAGGGTGAGCCCAGTCAGGTGCTAAAGGAGACAGAGCTACCACATGGGTATGGGTGGCACATCCAGCAGAAGTGCCAGAGACAGATCCAAACTTCTACCACATCTACTGGGTCAGGCTGCTCAGGCTGCTACTGCTTGTAGCTAAATAAACTAATGTGCTTAGAGAAATAAGCTAATAAAGAGAAATAAACAAATGTGCTTAGAAATGACATTTTAGAGTCTTGGTTTAATGATATTTGTGGTTCTAAGTCTGAGAATGACTTAATTTTCTTTTAAGTCTTTGAGAAGTCTAAGTAACATATATCTAGGAGTCTAGACTGCAAGGGCAAATCCCACCATGTTCTGCAAGATTCACCAGGGAATCCAGAGTACTGGGAAATCATGATGTTTCCATGCACATGCATGAAAAGGTGTGGGTGTAAGGCCACAGGACTTGGGCTGTCTGGTTTTTATCTTCTTTTCATGCTCTCAGTTTTACGCTGTGCTTCACTAAGATGAGGAGTGGAGTGTGGAGTGGAACATTCTGGAAAGAGCAGGGAAAAATGTCCTTTGTCATGGGAGCTCCTGAATACTTCCTTGTTCCTCTGCTCTGAGATACAGTGGGTGTATCAGGCTAGAGAGTCATATCAGCTGCTGCCAGCCAGCAGCTTTTGCAGTGGTGCTCAAAAGAGGAGCAAGGAGCCACAGAGCTCTTACAAGTGGATGCTTTCTGAGGCATCAAGGAGGTGGCAGACCTTGCTGCAAATCAAAGTTAATGTGGTCATAGGCTTCACCTGGCTCATCTTCTCACCATATCACAGGCTATTGCCTGAAGGGACAGGGGCACATCTGTGAGGGCACAGCCTGCAGCAGAATAACCTCACCCTGGGCTCAGCCCCCCTCGTGGGGGATGCTGCTCACTGACAAACAGCTATTTGTGGTTTATGGATTCCATGGAGGTTCCAACAGTAGTCATAGAACTACTTCCTCCAAAAGACAACTACTACATTTCAAAGTGATAGCACCAAAGTGTTACATACTGTGAAAAAAAATTCAAGTGTCCATGCAAACTATGCAGTCTCTGACTCACTTGTAATAAACACATTATTGACATAAAAAGGTTCCTTTATCAGACTTATGGTTTGATATAAATCCTTGAAGGGAAGATAATTGATATTACTGTTCCTATGACACCCCATCTCTCCAGTCAACAGGGACTGGATTCAGTTATGTTTGACTGATCAAACTGACAGTCTATATTCCTAAGGCTGTTGGCAACCAGCATAAGTCAGAGCAGCCCTGAGGTTGATTTAATTTATACTGATGGACCTGGTGGAACAGGCTGACCTCAGAATGAACTTCATCCTACCTTTTTAGCCTTTTTCTTTACCTAGGCTATATGCTACTCAGTGCAGCCTATTGAGTGCATAAATATGGATACATGCATGCATTTTATTTTTCAGTTGAATAATTGAAAGCCACTGAATAATTGCCCTGATTCTTAAGTAGGTCTAAGACTGCCTCCAGGAAATTCTCTGATTTTCTATTGAGCTGGAACATAATTTGGGCAGTTCAGTCAAAACAGTGTAAATAATCATGCAGAGCAGTCAATATAGTTCATAGCTTCTAGAAATTTAACACATTTTGATGGCATCTGAACTAGAGACGTAAATAAAAGCTATACTTTTAGGGAACAAATTTTTAAAAGGCTAGAGTTAGGGTAACTCTTTAACCCAGTAATATAGAATTTCTACTGCAAGTAAGAGGCTACAGGCTTTGTACTGAGTTTGAAAGACCACAGCACAGGGGCTTGCCACCTACCTTTGGTTTGCCTGAATTTGGTTTTGTTTTGACTTGGGTTCACTCTTTCTTTTTTTTTAATTTTCCTGGCTGGACAACTCTGGCAATTTGCTGTATTTTCACTTGTCATTGCATAACACCATCATAGTTTTATTCAGATAGAAGTAGCAAGTGACCATTCAGTGCAAAATGAGATATTCATGGCTAACAAGGCAGTGCAGAAGAACACACGCCCAGTATAATAGGTGAAGCCTTGAGAGGTGAGGACAGAGATGAACTGCACAGGTATATAATACTGGAGTATCTGGGATGATGAGAGGTGGGGCACAGGCTGGTACAGAGGGCTAGAAACAAGTCAGCAGTGTTTAGTTCAAATTCAAAACTGTAGCTGGAAAAAGCCAATTTCTAAGCATCAAGAAAAAACAGTAGGTAGCTAACATATGCAAAAAACACCATATACATTCAGGTGTACAACATAAACTTGAATGTATCCCAGAGCTGCAGACCAATAGAAACAAGCACAGTATAAAAGCACTCTAGCAAACACAAGCAACCCCAAGTGCACTCTCAAGTGAAAAAAGAAGCCATCAACATCACATTCCTCCAGGTAAAATACTGTGTATCGTGACTTACCATAACAACCCCACCTCCATCCATCTGCAGCTGTTTACATGACCCAGAGCACCAATGGAAAGGTGAGCATCACCCCAGAGAAAGGATTGGAAACTCATTGGTCATGTAACAATTTTAACTGTATTAGTGCGAGGAGGAGGAGGCAGAGGAGAATTTTAATATGGGTATTTTGTCTGTAAGTATCTTGTGTAATAATTCATCTTGACTAATGCTGGCTTAAATTGTTAACATGTCGATTCTAGTAACAAATTCTACTTTATGTATAACATGATTGCCCATAAACAAGGTTTATTTTGTATGTCCTTTTGTTCAATCAACAGTTCCCTACATGTACAAATAACTGAAGCAGACCATCTGGATCAATAGATGAGTATTATGGCCAATTACTGTGATAATGAAGCTTCCCAACTTGCTGTATGCTGAATTTATTGCTACCTATAAACTTTTACAATAATAAACCATAAATATTTGGTTCTCTGACACACCTGGCTCAGTCTTCAAAGATCTTTTGGTAGATATTATAAATTTTCTAGGAATAATCATACAGATATAAATGTATATATTCTGATTAGCTGACCCTAATTTGACTTTATTGTTATATGTTTTGAAAGGCTGTTTATGACTGTACCCTTCAGCCAGTTTGCATAAGTGTCTTGCACCTCAAGAATTTGTGATTCCCAAATTACTTCATTTCTTAAAGAAATTACTTCATTTCTTAAAGAAAAATTCCAAATTAAAATCAATCTTTTTTCTTTCTGATGCAAGGGTCCTGTGACAAGGACTTATGGGTAACTTCTTCCAAGTTCTTATTACAGAACTTCTGCTCTTCCTTGTTGGCACTTTTTGGTCTTATATGAAAGTTATTCTTGTTTTGCTTTTCTGGGTTCACTTCTCCCACTGTGTAAGCTTCCAAACTATTCAAAGCTGAAACCCACATATAATTTTGGTGCTCAGCTTCACTCACATGTAACAAAAGACTTTTAGTAAAGGATAAAAGTATGCTCTCACACAACATTACAGAACCAACGTTACAGCAGCAAAAGGGAAAGAATATGACAAGGTACAGCTACAATTTTATCCCCACAGACTGTTCAGTATCAAAAAAGGCATGAAATGCCCAAGAAATGTAAACAAAAATTAGCAAGAGGTACAACTAAGGCCTTACACCTTTTGCAATCATAAGAACACTGAAGGAAACTTTTAGCACAGAATAACATTGCTCCTATTTTTCCTGTCTACAAGGCAGTAAGAACCTTTTTTGTAAAAGAAGATGCACTGTGACGGTGGCAGCTCTGTCATAGCTCACCTAAAGCGGCCGTGTCTCTGCGCTGTGTAACTGGTGTTCCTGCATCTTGAACCAACGTTACAGAAAAGCGTCCGCATGAAAGGATACAGGCCACGACTCGGTAAGTCACGAGCTTCTAAGTAACCTGAAACCAAGCAACAGCAGAAATAGGATCAGTAATATTGCATTTGAAAGCTGTACCATCACATTGTGCTCCCTTGTCCTAAAAAGCCTCTTTGTCATCTGCAAGCAATGAAATTGTATCAATGTCAGGTGTCTCATTTAAGAAAAACTCAGTCATCACAGAAAATGAGTAACCTCTGTGTCACATTGTGACAACAAGCTACATGTGACATTTGAGAGCAATCTTTGAAAAGCTGATTTTCCTGGTAGTAACATTATTGCAGTATCATGTGGTTACTAGCCCCTCTGCCCAAAGTCATGTGATCTGGATTGGAATATAGACTTCCGCACAAAGTGGTATTTCCTATTTTCTCACAGGCTTTCAAAAAATGAAGGAACTGGTGTTCAGCAGTGTCTGAACATGCATCAATCAAGACTGTCTAAACAGCCACTTTTCCATATCTCTAGAATTATCCACAGCTCTCTTATAAAGTAAATATACATAATGCAGGCTACATTCTCTCCAGGTAGTTCACTCTACAGATCTAGAATTGTTTTACCGAACTGATTTTGAATGTAGCCAAAGCTGGTTTATCCCCATTTTACTACATTGGTGAATAACTGAATAGATAATAATATAATAAATAATTATTTTCTAAATGAATTATATTTTGACAAGATAAAAGCAAAAATAGCTTTATAAGGTGGAGGGAGTTTTGAAGTGTTAAAGGAAATGGAAGAATTTAACAAAATATTAATTCTCAATCCCAGGAAGTGAGTAGGGGTAAGGTTCATCTTGTCTAATTGTAAATATCCACCTCTGAGGCAGTCATTTAAATTCCATTACTCAGTAGAAAGCAATAAATATAACTAAAACCCAAATGATCTCACTCACTCCAGAGCTGACATTTAAAAGTTGTCTTACCAATCAGATCGTAAACTTTGCATCTCTTTCCCACATAAATACAGCTTCCTCAGATCTGTATCTGGACAAGATTGAATCCCACTGTAGGACTCTTTCCATTGACTCCACTACATTTAAGTCCCCCAGTCCCCCCTTCTAGGATGTCTTTAGTGTTTGCTAAATAATTCTACAAATAGGGGCAACCAAAATAGGGCACAAATGAACAAAACATACAGTTTTCCTTGTATTTTGGGGGCTCCTGGAAGCGGATGGCAGCTAGAATCAAGAAAAGTACACATGGCCACAGTATTTCGGTGAGAGAGAGGACCTGAAAAAGGAAATCAGAACATCAGTCTATAGAACATAGGGTTTGGGAACAAATCATTAAAATTCATATGTTTTTTACTTTAAAATAAAAACATTAATTATCCTCTCTACAACTATTTAAGGAAAAACAAGACCATTAAAGCAAGCTAACAACTGACACTTCTATTTTAAATCCTTATAGCTTTGAAATGCACTTCTTTCAGAACAGAAAAATAGTTTTCATTTCAGTTTATACTGTTTGTAGATACTTTTCTCAGGTCAAGACAAAGACTGGCAAGATGATGATGGTGACCTTCAACTTTCCCATACCTGAGCCTCCTAAGAAGCCAGCAGCATGCTGCACCTTGGTGAAATTCTTCATGCTCCCCTGAGCCCTTCCTGGTGGCATACCTTCTTGTCCTTCCCTGACTGCCTGGCTGCTGCCATCACACCCTTCCTGTCACCTGCACTCAAATGCTCTCCAAAAGCCACCTTTGTCATCTCCAGGAGGGAAGACCAAGTGAGACCAAGCTAACAGGCCTGAGGCTGCCCACAGCCACACTTCTCATATCCCAGTGTTCCCATTTCCAGGGCCACAACAACAAGGCACACAAGCCAACGTGCAGTGGGACTCATTTTGAGTGTGTCTTATCTGAGCAGACTGCACATACACAGCACACGTTCATGCCTCTTCAGAGAGGGCACAGACTCCCAAATGGATTGGAAGGAAGAAAAAGAAACACCAAGAAAAGCAATTGTGCCAGTTTTAAGCAGCAGAAAGGAAGAAACAGCCATTCAGACAAGTTTCAAAAGACTTCTAGATTCACTGATGACAGCATTAGGAAAGTGTGAATAGGGACAGAAACACAGTAGAAATGACAGCCATGCTGAAGGTCTCCCATTAGAGGCTGTTCAGAGGGATTTTATTTCTAAACTGACAGAGTTGAACCAAATCCCACCACAGAAGTTAACTTGAGTGTGTCAGAAAAATGCCTAAGAACCATAAGATAAGAACAAAATCCAGTGTCTGAGTCTTCCCTGTGGAGAAGGACATCTGTGCTGGACATGACACAAGGAACTAAAGGTTTCCTGAAATTTAGGGATATCGCCATTTATCTAAACTTATCATACTCAAACAATGCAGGAGCCAACCTAATAAAAGGGAGGATGGTGCTTTCTATCTTTTAGGGGTCACCAAGAGCCATCTGCTGCCGAGGGTGCAGGGATCTGTGTGTGACAGTGCCACCCAGCAGGCCAGGGGACCCATCCAGGGATGCCAGAAGGGAAGCAGGGCAAGGCCTGCTATCACAGCCAGTCTTAACCCGGAGTCCAGATCCTCAGCCAATGTCACAGCAGGCCAAGCCAAGCAGTGTCCAAGCAAGGAGAGCAGCACCTGGGAGGAATGGTGAGTTTTGGTAACAGAGCTGATTAAAATCAGCTGATTTTAATTCCAGTTGTCCTCTAAATTAGGGAATCAGAATTTGGGAATCACATTTCATCCTTTACCTAGCTACAAATTTGGATGGTAATAAACATTATTTAAATGACAGTTAAGAAATGCAGTGATGGAGAACTAAAGTAGCCTGGTAGTGTGTATGTCCTGAGCTTCTAGAATCTATAGTAAAAGTAGAAGCTTCTGAAAACAGACATAAGAATGTATCTTTGGCACAACTGCAATTTCAAACTCCAACAAGTCAAAACGTCCAAAAGACCCTGTCCTGCCTTTGAATCATGTTGATAGAAGGTGCTGATGCCAGCCTGAATTTCAGTCACAAGACCCGCTCCTTACAGAACTCTTACATCTGTCACAGCCCCTTCACCCTTCACTGTGCAATATCGACTAATGGCACATGGCACTCAGGACACTTTGCCGGTTCAATAGCTCTCACCTCTCTTCCAGCCCTAACTGCTGATAAAGAAAATTGTCTTATACAGACGGATCTAGGTGGTATGGAACAGAGCTGAAGCACATCAGACCTTTCAGGAGGTGTTTCTCTTCAGATTCACAAGGGTCTCACCACCTCTGCATACGTGGATGATCCCCCTGAATTTCTCTTCCTGTACTGCAGGTGGAGCACCTTCACATCTCAGTGCTTGCACAACAGCACACAAGGAGGTTTTGCAAGTTCCCCAGGGCATCTTCTGCCTCTCAACACACAGAATGAAGTTTGCTTTGGATCACCCACCTTAATTCCTGCCTTGGAGAAGTCTGCTTCTCAGTGAGTTCTCTATTCAGGAAATCTACCAATTAGACAAACTTACAACTTACATGAATTAAGATTTTTTTTCTTTCAAAAATATATGAGGGAAAACCACACAGAACAAGAGGAGAAATAGATCCACATGCAGAAAAACAGGAGATACAGAGAAGCCACTTGATGCACCCCAATTGAACTTAAGAACTGTACAGGCATAGAGAATAATATGACCAACAGCATCCTCCCCCCAAAAGTACATTTTATATTAAAAAACATCACTTTCATTAATTTGGGGAATAAATTCCTCTCTAAATCTCTATTTTATTAAGGCTAAATATTTCTGAATCTGAAAACTGTGCTTATTTAATTGAAATAATCCTATCCAAAGCAGCCAACATGCTTCACTGCAAATCCCCAGATCATTTAAGACAAGTGAAATCTGTGTGAAACTATTAATTGAAGTGACTTTTTCCCCACAAAAATGTTCTCTCACTTGAGAAAATTAACTTCCTTCTATCCTAAAAAATTGTTTTCATCATAGTAAAGGTAAAAGACAACTCATATCTAATTTTCATAATTTTAATTTTGATTTCTGTTTTAAGCAGCTGCCACATTATTTTGCATATTGGAATTTGAGAGGCTAAATTAGGCTTTGAAGAGCAGATAAGAAAGGAAATTAAGAAGTTTATACAATTTTAATGCACAATACATTCCCTGTATCTAGACTTTGATCACAGTCATGCAAGCTTTCTTACATTACCTATAAGCACCTGTAATGTGAAAAAAATTGATTTTCTCCCTTGCCACTGCTAACCAGCACTGCTAGTATCTAATGTTAATTAAAGAAAAATTTTATGACATTTGTCTCATTTGCAAATTGGGAAGACAATTTGCAAAATTTTTATGATATTCGTCTCATTTGCAAATTGGGGTGAATTGGTGTATTCAGCCATTTTAGAACTAAAACAATACATTCTCTTCTTGTGCTTTCAACAATTCAGTGACAAAAGGCAAAACAAGAACCACTTGCAGCCAGCCTATCCTTAACAATCTGCAATGAAAAGGAAAAATCGATAGACACACTCTTTCCAATACTAAATACTAATACTAATATTTCCAGATACAAAAAAAAAAAAAAAAAATTAAATATTCCTTTTTTAATTATTTCCAAACACTCACCGGTTGCCTCACACGACAGAGCCAATTTTTCCAAAACAGAGCCTTGAATTGGTGTATAGCATGCCCCATATCTTCTTTTCTTTCCTTCATCCACTTGCAGAGTGGACTTTCTAACTCAGAATCATCTCACCAAGGAGTCCAAACGTATTATCCAGAAGCTGATTAATTCCAGCACTAGTGAATAGTGCAGGAGATTTGCCTGCTTCCTCAGAAAAGATGAGATTATGTTTCTGCCTCTTGTTTTGCTTTCATTGAGGAATCTCATCTTTCTGTTTTTCTTCTCAGTGCAATGAACAGTAAGGGGATGGGTTTATAGAAATGCCTTCAGGCTGCTTTACTCCACAGCATACATTCTGCATTCGTTTCTACTTTTCTGGAATAAAAATGGATGCAAAAAAATGAAGGGGTGGGGAAAGAATATGTAACACACATTTGTCTTTTTGCAAAGTTTTATGACTTTTTGTCTCTTTAGTGTTTATGTCTGTTTGTTTGCAGATACTCATATTTTTGAAAAAAAAATAGTAGGAAAATAAAAAGGAAAATAACTCTGTTTCACAACATAGCCCTAAAAATGTCAGTATGCTTCTAGAACATCCTTATAAGTACACATCTAGCACTGTAGTGGTCCCAATACATCATCAGATGACTGTTGAATTTTCTCTTGTGGAGTGTGTATGTCTGACATTTCATTCTCTTTACCTACATAGAGGGGCAATATTCCAAAAATAAAAAACTCCATTAATTAATTTCCACATGCCACCTGGGATGAAAATCAGTCTTACAGCAGAAGTTCCTTCAGCAAAGAGGTGGGAGAGCAATTCCTTCTGCAGAAGGGGACCATGTGCAGACCTGTGGCAGCAGAGCCAGTGGGAGACCCAGCAGGAATCTGGTGGTACAGAGGATGACCACCCTACCCAATGTCACAATGACACTGTGAGCAGAGGAGTAAACTTTCTGGGTTTTTTTTTTTTTTTTGTTCTACACAAATGAATTGCCTAAGAATCTGATTCCCAAAAGCTCTCTCTTATGGTCAATAGAGACACATAATACAGCCTTTATATAAGGTAATTCAAACCACCTATAATCGCAGTCATGATTCACACACACACACGTAGGAGGACAGCATGATGCCTGAACAAATATTCTTTATTTCTTATTATTGCTGAGTAAATTGCATCATTGCACTATCTACAAATATATTCCTGTTGAATGAAAGACACAATCTTAACATGCACAGCTATTTTTCCTCATTATGAGTAAAATCTCCCAAAATATAAAAATTTTTTTGATACAGAGGTCATCAAAGAGGAATCCAACTTCCATTAGATTTAAGCCAAGGCAGCAGTTTTAAAAGTTAATAAATCTGCTACTTCTGCAATGAACAACTGCAAATCTGCAGGTCTAATTAGTTGTGCCAGTTTCTATGGGATAAGAATCAGCTTGTGTTGAATGCCTTAGCTTCCCTTTCTCAGGCTTTGTGTTTGGGTCATCCAGCATCAGTTTTGGCCCTTCAGAGCACATTCTAAACTTAATTACTCCACTTCCTGGGAAACTGACTGACTAGTCTGTCAAAATGTCTCTATTTGAAATGGTGCAAATTTCTACTTTAATTTTTACCTTTTCCACAGTTCAAGGAATAGCGAAAAAACAGACTAAGGTGTCATGAATTCATCAGTTTTACATACTGGTCAACATCACCTCCCAAAAACCAGAAATCACAGAGAAGTCATGGCAGAATACAACTAGCTAAACTCCTTCATTTCTCAAATATGTTGAGATTTCCTTTTATATTCTCTGCTCTGAGACTGAAAAATTACTCAAGTAATAATTTAGTTCAAATAGAAATCTGAAAGTCCTCAGGACATACTAAAAAACTAAATAGTTTAATGTTTACCTGAATGACGTTAAGCACATATGTACTCTTGAGTCAGGATTAACTAATACCTTACCCAGGAGCTCTACTTCACACTTGGATGGCACTTCTGCTTTCAGTCAAGCACTGCTAAAATGCCTGCTGTTTCAGAGCATGGACAGTCATTTTTCTTGCTTGGATCAAAGGTGACATTCTGTGATAGCAGTGATGCAAATTCTGTGCACAGCAGAACATTTTTAAACAATTTTTTTTTTCAGGAACTGAAATTGAAATGCTGTTAATTGTTAATATGTGTGAGATCACACAGCCATTCTGGAAAGCCAGGGAGCAGAATCTTTAGAATGTGATTTGTAGGAAGTGATAAACTACTCAGCATAATGAATTACAAGCAGTTACTTATCAAAACACCTGATATGGAAGAGAGCTCCTGTCTGTCTGCGTGTGAGCTACAGCAGCTCGCGTGAACCATCTGCCAAATTATTTTGAACAAACCTTTCTGCAAAATCTCTGCCCATCCGACTGTGATGTGTTAATTTATTATGCTCTATATAATTACATTCTCATAAATGTGGCATTCTGTTTTTACGGAACCAACTATTTTGTATGCAATTAGTGTCCAGTACTAATGAACTACTGACTCCCCATTCTACTGTATAAGACACTCAATAGACAAACACCTTTCACCATCAAGTTACGTTGACTTCATTTGTCTCTTACTTCATTAGAAAAGTGTCTCATTTCCTATAGAAATTCAGTCTTGCCTCTTTTGGTGTCCTCCAGTGGCAGACCTGTTTTTTCTAGAATGAAGTTTAGGAAAGTAAAAGATATCCATTCCACCAAGAACAATCACTGCAGTGACATTCTGGGAAATGACTTCTAAAAGTAATTATAGAAGACACAGATTCTATGAGGTTGATTGTATTATTTTGAATGTCATAGAAGTATGAGAATTATTAAATTAAACAATCACCCCCAGCCCCAAACCAAACCCTTGGCACAAAAGATATAGTATGAAAATGAAACACAGAGGCAGGAAAATCAAAGGAGTAATGAATATGTTTGGAAAGATGCATCAGCTATATTGCTGCCATCCTAGAAGCTCTTTTGAATCCCTAGGTTTCATCAGGAGAGCTTCAAGCAGTATCCTGTGCATGTACCAGCCTTAAATATCTATATTAACTATATAATTATTTCACTATAAACAGGTAATAGCTATATTAACTGAATGTTTTCAGGGTTCCTTGACAAAGTGGCTGCAGTCAACAGCAACATCTTGAGTATTGCAGGGCAAATTAGAAAGGCATGGATTTCATCATGTGCTCCACTCCCTCCTTCTGGAATGGAAACAAAAACAGGCTCAGAATTGGGGCTCTGAGTAAAGACAACACAGAGTGATCTGCCCTTTTTTGCTTCTGCTTCGCTTTGTACAAGTTATCCAAAATCACTGGGCTGAAAAGGCAGAAAAGCTCCTGCCAGCATCCAGCTCTGGTTTTAAAACTTGACTGCTTTATAACATCACACCATCAACACGCCATGTCTAGCCTACAGTTTTAATACAATGTAATTAGAGTAGGCTGGCAAGCACTTCCAAAGAAACGTAATTTTATATGTTAAATAGGTTGAAGCCCGGGAGCCAACAATACTGTTTGGTATGGACAGGAACGCAGTCAAATCATGTGAGAATATGACTGGGAATCTGGCAAGCGAACCTATTTTCCTATCACCACCCACCACTTCTTTCACAAGGTTTATTAAGTGATCACAAGGCTTTCCTTCTAATATTAATAGGAGTACTACTTGTAAATATTTACATGGGCCAGACCTGTGTTCAGACAAAGTGCCTGCAGGATGACATCAATTAGTAGCATCTTTCCTGGGAGACGCTTCTTGTGTGCAAAGTTAGAGCCTGATGAAAAATGTTAGTTGTGGGCCAGGTCAAATAATGGGGCTGATTAAAATGGAGCTATGTGTTAAACCAACAAAACAGACCCAATCTCCCAGGGAGGCTGGTAGTTTGTTTGAACTTCTGGGGAGCTCTAGGAAGTTTACTCTCATAAAATGACAGACTGATAGGAAATTGAAAATTTTCTCACAGCTACAAGCTCAGCACCAACAAGAAGCGTCTGGAATCAGGCTCATGTGTCATGTAAAACCAGCTCTTGTCTGTCTTTTGCTGCTGATTCACTTTGTAGCCCAAGCAAAAGCAATGTAGCTGTCAGCATTACTCTTTCTTCTATTATTGCATCACAGAGTTTCAGATTTAATATTGCTCTATTCAGCAACCTCCTTTGTCTTCAGCAGAAGACTTTCTGCACTTGTAATTTAATCCATACTCTGGAGCATAATATTAAATGGTAATTATTTTAGAAAGATAAAACATGAATTTTAGTCACTCAAAGACTGAGAAACTTTCAGAAAAAGCAAACCTCAACATTTTGTAGCAAACCAAAATAGTAACATCAAATCACACGACTGTGCCTTGTATTCTGTTGTTGCACACAGATGCAATCCCCAAAGCCCTATTTGCTGCTTTGGTTTTCCTTCACCTGATTTGTCAATGGAAATTAAAACCAACCCTGATTCAACCATACAAACATTTTATTTAGGAGTATATATTGAGATCCCAACTTAAAAAAAAATCCAGTTCTGTTACACAATGAACTGAAAATCCTTTACAAAGAAGAATGTTTAAAAAACCATGTTGCTTATTACATGCATATATTTTCAAGAAATACTGAAATTATCAAATTATTTCACTTGGTTTTTAAAGGACAGATAAAAAGAAAAATTGTTGTCTAAACACTTCTGGACATGGGTCATTCCATAATGCTCCTTGTCAGGATTTCTCACACCTTCCTTTAAAGAAAATCCTTCTCTGAGATATATCAAGATGCCAAAAATAAAAAAAAAATCCACTGCTTCAAATAAGTCTGAGTTCCTGCTCTTTTCAGTCTCTTGCAAATGTAAAACCACTGCATTATAGCCTGTCTTCATTATGATCTCAACCATTTCTTTAACAAAATGGTAGGAATAGGCCACAACACCATGAATCACAGAACAAACTATTGGTAGGAACCACTTTTTTCTCCCTTCCTGCTTCCACTCTGTTCCTATCTTATGCATTCCTTCTTTGCTTTTATCCCTTTTGACCCTTGGATTAACTGGATTGTATAGTATTTTGCTAGGTACAGGATGG